ATTATATGATGTTATTTAGAAAAGTGAAATAAGTGTAGTAAGGACTAGTAATGTAAAAAATAGGAGTGGAATTATGGTGTTTCTGGTGCACCCAATAAATTACCAAAATTTTTCCTCTAAAAATTATTTTCATTACAAAATTATTTTTGACATATGGTATTATAACTATTCAGGAAAAGAGGATGGAATAAATAAATTAAAAAAAATCACTTAACTATAGCTACATACTAATTAATCCTTTAATTATAGTTATATACTAATCCCTTAAAAGTTAAAACAGCAACATTGAGTTGATAAAATCAAATATCAAATAATCCCCTTAAATCATTTATTTAGATTAACTCAAACGTCAAATAAATAATATGATTAAGAAGGTAAGTATACCTCTCTTTTAGAAACAACGACACACGTTTATTCAAATCCTTACAGATTAGCCAGAGTCATCGTCATCAACTGGAAAATAATGCTATCAAATTATCCACATATCACCCAAGGCAATTCATGTAATCATTAATTGAAAATCAAACTTAACCCATTCATAGCCATGTCACCATCGTAATAATAATAATAAAAAAAATCATCAATCAAGAATCTGGAAAGAACTTACAATTGCAGAAGGAGCATCGGAAGTAAAAGTCGTAGCTAAGAGCCCTTATGTTTTTCCGGTGGTTTGGAAATGAAGTTTAATAAAATGCTGGATTGTTCATATGTAAGAAGAGAAAGAAAATTTTAACTAGTTTTTGATTTATACGAATATAAAATTTTGTATGTGCAATACTTACTGCGTTAAAGAGTTGATTTTTAGCCCATCCAATAATTTCACTTATTCGCAGTTTGTTAATAATTGATTTGGACACTCAAATTACTCTATCTTTGATCTCCTTCGGCTTTGTTATGCACTGACTATTGCATTTATCTTATTAATATTTAATGAAAAAGTACAAAATCATTTGAAATTCACTATAGAACATGATAAAGTGTTAGTCGGTCGGGCAATCGCCGAGCTGAGACACCACAATTTTTGCACAATGAGATGTTTTCTCGAGACACTAAAATTTTAATATTAACCCAGAAGTGAATGTTGAAAACTGTTTGGGCTAATCTCTTCATTCGTTGTTTTTTTTTCAAATACATACTAATTTTTTAAGCTGGACTCCAGTATCGGTTCAGATAAGACACTAGAAAATAGTATATGATTATGTTAAAACATATCCCCGGGCAACGATCCTTTAATGTGTTCCCATTTGATATTGTTATATTATATAAAAGGATATTTATTCTTTTTCAAAAAATTTATTTTCTTTATTTACACATACGATTACTCAGGCATTCGCCCGGAGCAATCATCTAATTCTTATTAAGAACATAAGAAAGATATTTATTGCGTAATGTTCATTATTATTTCTTTTTTGTATACTTTAATATTGTTGAGCTCCGATCCTTATTATAAGGCATTTTAATTTTGTCTTAGGTTTAATTTAGGTTGTATTTTTAATTGAAAAAAAATCTTAAAAAATATATTTTCACATTCGTTGTATTCTCCTAATTATGAAATATTTTTAAGGTTTTTACTTTAATTAAAAAAATAAAAAAGACATTTTAAGTAAAACTTAAAACAAAATCAAAATGCATTATAATAAGTACCAGAGAGATTATGTGATTGTGAACAATCTATGTATGGAATGAAACTGAGCCTACCTATGGACAAATAAATTTCCATATCTTGTTTTCACACCACCAAAATCACTCTGGGAAGAGGGGAAAAACAGAAAGCCAGAACTTCAGAATGCCCTGTATGTTTATACAAAGCAACATGTTCTAGAAAGTTCACGGACGTACGACTATTAATTTCAACATCTCCCGTCCCAAAATAGAGGGAGAATTGAATTGAAAAAAGAAATATATGCAATTTGACTACTTAAAAATAAAGTGGTGAATCAAAGATTGTAGCCATGCAAGTTGATTAAACAATCGCAATATTTATATAGAAAAATTCCAATAAATTTTAATGTTATGTGATTGAACACGATAGATTTTTTTAATTTTTATTTTGCGAGACATAGATTAAGTACTTCAATATTTATAGCCAAAGAAAATATTAACCACTCCCTCAAAATTTTAACTTACTTTTGACATTTTCAATAAAAAAAAATGCACATAATAGAAAGTTGAGCGACATTTCGCACAATTTTGTCAGTGGCTTCTTTTCTTAAAAGTAATATACTCTAATTCCAAACTGAAAGAAAAAAAAAATGATTCTCTGAAAGTTCATGAACAAATTAATAATTAACCCAAAATTTTTGTGACATTAACATATGATTACAACGACTCTATGAGTAAATTAATTAATTGCAATAAACGTAACTGAATATAGCGGCAGACATACAACAAAAAAAATGTTATCCAAAAAAAAAAAAGACACCCTGCTGGTCTGCTTACCAGAATGTGTGAGAAATACGCCTTAAACATGATGAATAAAATTCGTCATTATTAATAATAAAAGAAAAGAAAAGTAAATCAGAATGTAACAGTTTGATTTTTATAATTCCTCATAACTTTCACGTACTAATATTTTGCAATTTTTTTTTTCAGTACAAAAATGTTTTACATTTTTAATTAAACCTATGTAGTCGATCAGATTTGAAAAAATCCACATAACGTTTTTTTCATATATTAAAGTCAGAGTGGAAGAAGACAAAAAAAGGGAACCTGACCAATTTTCAAAGTATTTCAAAAATATAATAATAATAATAATAATAATATTAATTGGGCAGTGGGAAGAGTCAAGGCAGGAAAGCGGACTAAAATACAGAACAAAGATACCCAACCAACTTTCCTCTGTTCCTCTGTTCTCACACTTTTAATTTGCTTTGCAATTTCGTCTCTTCAAATCTATTTCTTTGCTTGTTTGATTGTTCTTCCTAATCTGATCAAAATCACTCCATAATTTGGTTTTAGTTTAACTACCCCGTCATCTCTGAGATTCAAGATTTCAATAAAGAAGTCATCTTTAAGCAACCTCCTTACCCGTAATCGTCATCATTTTATTCATTTCTTTTATTGTTTTTTTGGCTACTTTGAAATAAAGTTCCGGCCTTTCTCAACGGTTTATTGCTTTGGCCTTACTGCGCTCCACCTCTTCAAATCGCACTACCATTGCTGGAGCTCGACTCGGCCACGATCACTCTCAGTGAGTTCTTCCCCAAAACCCTACTTCTCTCTCTCTTTCTACTTGGATATCCTGCAAATTTTTGTGGGTTGGTATTTGTTTCGATTGTCTAGCTTTGCTTTTGTTGGGTTCTTTTTACATTTTTCCTTTCTGGGTTTTCTTCCACTGTGATTCTTCCAGTGATCGGTGTATTATTTTGAGTATATGTATTCAATTAGTGATGATGAAGGTTGTTTTAATTTTTTGTATGATTTTTTTTTGGGCTCAAGAATATGAAAAGTTTGTTACTTTTACTTCGTGATGCTTGTCCGTTGCGTGTTTTGTCATTTCTATGCTTTTGTGAGAGTGTGAGTGGGGTTTCCAAGTTAGGCCCAGAATTAATATGTCAAGAAACTTGAAGGAGTGGGGATCTTGATTAGGATATTCTTGTGTTTTAGTAAATTCCGCAGGTGGGTTTATAATTAATCGGCTAATTTACAAATCTAGGTTTTTGTTGCTAGTATTGATTGAGAGTTGAGACAATCACGAAAGCTGCTAACTATTGTGGCAGCATCAAGTTGTCAATTTTAAATTATTTCCCAGGTGGTGAAGACAAGAGAAGAAATGTTGGTTTCTAGTTTTTTGTCACTTCATATGATTGATAATGATTTGGGGTTATTAATATACCTGCCAATAGTGCTTGATGATTGAACTGAGAGTATGTTTTATCTACTTTCTTTCCAGTATTATCATTCTGCATCTGAACTAGAAATTACCAATGAAGAGGACAGGTGGTTTTTGTGTTCCATTCAAGTGGTATCTTTCAAGTAACTTGCTCTTGTTTTCTAAGCTAAAGTGCATAATTAAAGGAACTGGGATATCTGCTTTTTGTTCTGGAGAAATGTTTATGAAACAGATATCATAACTGTTTAGATTGGCAACTGGATGTCTTTGTTTGTAGGTTTGCTCTTCTCTAATTTAGTAGGTTGAAGTAGGAAGACGTCCTAAATTGACTTTATAAATTAATTTCCCAGTCTCCCAGATTGTCCTAAGATGTCAAAATCATTTCTTTCAGTGTAATGTGACATTGACTAAGATGTTTACTTCCTGACAGTTATACTGAACGGCAATACACCATGGGAGTTTCTTATGTAATGGCCATGTAGAAAGAATGTTGAATGTTGCTTTGAATGGTTAAAAGCTGCAGCTTAACAGGTTTGAATTCATCATTCAAGAAAAGATTGTTGATATGATAGCATGAGGCAATGTAAAGTCTGTGTTCATGTTTAGTCTTTCTATGAATTCTGCTACTGTCTAATCTTCTATAGATGTTGATAGCTGGTGCTAATTGAGTGGAAACCAAAACTTTTAAGTTGGTACTCTGGATAAGCATTGAGAACTTCTAGACTTTAATTAAACCTTTATTTTCCCCGTGTTAATGCTTAGATGTTAAATAGTATGTTCCTCAATCGCGAATTACTTCTCTGTATATGCATTTTCTTCTAGTAAACAAAATCAGAATCACTTTCTTTTCCTTGAATTTTAACTTTGAGCTATTTAGTGTAGACATTATTGCTAGCTTAATGAAAACTGGCGCACTATGTTTCCATTAAAGATAAGAGTTTTATTTGTCACCTATGCCATTGCTAGACATGTTTGTTGGCTGCTAAGCTATATGTTTGCGATATTGTGAAACCATAAACTTTTCTGCACTGGATTGATTATCAAAGTTTTGTTCTTTGGTGGCAAATTATAGGTTTTACAAAAAAGTGGATTTTTGTGTTGGCGGTTAATCTTATTATCTTTCTTTGCTTCTCTATTTATTCGACAGATTTATTTTGCTTCATCGAAGATGCCAGATTCAGTTGCAAAGAGTGAGAAAGCTCAGATGAACACAGCTAATGTAAGGGAAGAGAGTGAGTACGTTAGGCTTGTTATATCTGATGAGGGTACAACATCTGAACCTGAGACTTTGCAGCTGCAAACTCCCCAAAAAAGGTCTTATACATGGTGGATCAAGGCCCTGATATGGTGTTTTAGCACAATAGTAGTTGTACTTATATTTGTCAAATGGGGAGTCCCAATTCTTTTTGAGAAGGTACTTATTTGGTTTATTTTAGTCTTTTGACCTCTGCTACTCTTTACCACCATTTAATTTCCCATCCTTCTCCCCTGCGAATCCTCATATCCTCCTGCTTAAAGGAAAAAAAACAAGATTGCAGAGCAGAAAAATAATATAGAGAATAACATCAATGATAAAACTAATCAAAATAAATTATTAGAGAATATTTTTCCTGCAGACAGGTAGTATGGTGAGTCATTAGCATCTGCAAGAAGTTGAACTTGGTGCTACATTAGTGACAAAGATTTATTTATTTATTTATTTTTTTTCGGCATCTGATAAGGGTGAACATGCATCCACAGCCGTAATACTGAGGTTAATTTAAGACTAGGTTGTGGCTGCTTTTTTATCCTAGAATATGACCTGTTCACACTGACCCTTTTCATCGGTTACTTCTCTTAGGTTGTTATACCGATTTTGCAATGGGAATCTACTGCATTTGGCCGCCCAGTGCTCGCGATTGTACTTGTGGCTTCATTGGCATTATTTCCTGTCTTTTTAATTCCTTCTGGACCTTCGATGTGGCTCGCTGGGATGATTTTTGGATATGGTCTTGGTTTCGTCATAATCATGGTTGGAACTACTATCGGAATGATCTTGCCATACTTGATTGGTTTACTTTTTCGTGACAGAATTCATGTAAGGACTGTTTATGCATTGTCCTTTTTGGATTCCCTGTGCTATGCCAATGTGTCTGATTGACAGTTATTTTTGTGATTCTAAACTGCATATCAATTTCTTTTTCCTTCCTCAGCAAGGGTTAAAGAGATGGCCTGATTATGCTGCTATGCTGAGATTAGCTGCGGAAGGAAATTGGTTCCACCAGTTCAAGGTGGTTGCATTGTTCAGGATTTCACCGTTTCCATATACTATCTTCAATTATGCAGTGGTTGTAACAAGCATGAGATTTTGGCCATACTTGAGTGGATCAGTGGCAGGGATGATTCCCGAAGCTTTCCTTTACATCTACAGGTTAGTTCTTTTTTTCTTCCTTTCAAGAGAGCCTGCTTACTTGTAGTCATTATGTAGCATACATCTCAATTTTATGTCCATTTTCTTAGTAGAAGAACATGGATTAAAGAACTGCATCGACTGGCCTTTGCATCTGCACTTCCCATTGTTAGCTAGTCTGTCTTAAGATGGAACCTTACTTAAGAAACTAGTGTGTAGACCATGCTGAAACTCTGGTTCTGGTTTCAATTCTCTTGCATAGACGATGGCAAACATAATTGTTTCTGATTTCAATTCTCTTCCATACTGTTAATCTGCAGTGGCCGTTTAATAAGGACGTTCGCAGACGTCCAGTATGGGAACCATCATTTGACTCCAGTGGAGATCATCTCCAACGTCATGTCCTTCATTGTTGCAATAATAACCATAGTACTGTTCACGGTCTACACTAAGAGAGCAATGAATGAATTGAAAATGGCAGAGAAGAATAATCAAGACCTCGAATCTGGGAATGAAACTCTTGAGATGGAGAAGCTTCCACTCGAAAGACCGAAGCAACTCGATTTACCTAAATCATAGTAGAAAATAGGTATGACTGAAATGTTGTATATATAGTAGTTGAAGGAGTTCTTTACAGAACCCTTGGTGTATTGCATCATTTTATATCCAGAATTCAAATCTCAGAGCAATATATCATCAGTTCTTAGCCCAAAAATTATTGTGGGGTGTTGTTTTTGCGACTTTGAAACGGTTTACATCTTTATATCATCCCTTAGCCAAAAAATTGCATTCGAGTAAGGCGGGCCTTAAGCATACAGTAACTTTTTGTTTGGAGAACTTTTAGTACCGTGTTACCAAAATCAATGGCCTTTCTTTTTTTTTTTTTTGATATACGTATCCTAGTTAGTACCATGTAAGTTCAAGATTTAATTAGTACCTATATATATTGAAGAACCTTCCCAGCATATTACAAAAAAAAAAAATTAAAAAAATAAGAAAAAATTAAGCAAAAATGTCTTCTAACTCGCCTAATTCTTCTAGTTGGTTTGACATTTCCAACGGCCTGGCTAGCTATGTCTTTCCCACATGAATTCAATAAAACTCATATTCCATTATCCAGCTGACGAATTTCTCCATCACCTTTTTTTTTTTGTTGTTCTTTTGAGGGGGAAACGGGACGAGTTTGCTAACAAAACCAGCCAGTTTTTAACTTTGGAAATACAAGAAGAAAAACAAAACCACAAGACTCTGTGAAAATGCTCGAATCCGAAATTAGTCGGAAAATGATTTCAAATACTGGGTATGTAATAATTTTATTTTTATAAAAAAAATCGCACATCTTTTCCTTGGAAAAGTTGCATGAGACTGTCTTCTTTTGACGCATTAATTTCGACAGAGTAAAGAAACGAGTGTTTTCATCTAATCAAAAGATGGATTTCAGGCCGAAGGAGCAAAGCCAAAGAGACTCCGGACTTTTCAATCACAGATTATTAAGGTAATTAGGGTTTAGTTAATTAGTAAATACTGTAATTAACTATTTTACCATTGTAACTTGGTTGTTGACCAAGGGAAAAAGAAAGGATACCCGCCATAGGACTGAACATCTCAGAGCCGTCTTAGGGTTACAATGGTAACATAGTTAATTACAATATTTACTAATTAATTAAATCCTAATTACCTTAATGTAGATCAAATAACAATAATATAAACCAATATAAACCCTTGTGCGGATTCTCCTTTTGTATAATCTTCTAAGTAGTCCTCGATCAATGCTCATGAATTTAATGCTCATTTTTCACCTCATTATACTGGATTATACTGTATTAAATTACGACGGAAGTAGATGATATCTTAATTTGGTATATTTGCAACATTGAGATTTGAGAATATAGGATTGCAACAATGCCGGTCATAGTACGAGACTGGAAAATCAATTAACTACAAATTATGATTACAAAGTTGTAGACTTGTATGCTGGACGACTATTCTCGAGGACTCGGTCGCAGCACGACAATGGTCCAAGTCCTCCCTTGTTACTGACCTCCATTTTTTTTTTCTCCCAATCTTCTGAAATAGATACAGTATGTCTGGGAGATTGTTGATCCATCACGGCATCACTAGTTGTAGCTACATGGAAACCGCGTACACTAATTACCTGTGATATATGCAGTGAAAAAATTATAACATAATTTTACAAATGATTATATGTTTAATAATAATCTTACAAATTGAAAATTACAATAATTTTACAGATGATTTGAAAAATTTAAATTTGTCCGATGATTTATACACCGACTGAACATGATGGTGACATGTGATCTATATAACCGACCCCACCTAGTGAGAAAAAGTGTTGTTGTTGTTGTTGTTGTATATGTTAATCATCTAAACTATCTCATTAATCTTAAATGATAAACGGTAAATGAAAAGGTACAGTATTATAATAATAAATAAAATGGATGTGATTATCTCTTGTCACTTTTCCTTATATTTTTCTATACGTCTTAATTTTTTTCGTTACAATCAGGGAGGCGGGAGCCTGAGTGAAATTAAATTAATTTTCTTGTGCTGTATCATTCATTTTAAATTGCTTAATCTATTAAAAAGTGGAAATCCACAACTATAAAAACATGCATGCATAGTATTATAGGATAAAATGGCGCGAATTGCAACATTTCTGATTTCTGCCATGGCAATTCTCGCAGCTGCCATCCAAGTTCCGGGAACTCTAGCTGTAGATTACACGGTGACCAACACTGCCGCCGGCACACCGGGCGGCGAGCGGTTCACGGCGGACATCGGCGTCGACTACACCCTGCAAACGCTCTCCTCCGCCACCGCCATCATCTGGCAGCTCTTCCAAGAAGACAACTCTCCGGCCGACAGGAAGGACGTCCAGAAGGTCTCCGTGTTCGTCGACGACATGGACGGCGTTGCCTACACCGTCAACGACGAGATCCACGTCAGCGCCCGGTACATACAGGGTTACTCCTCCGGCGACGTCAAGACGGAGATCACAGGCGTTCTATACCACGAGATGACCCACGTCTGGCAGTGGAACGGCAACGGCCAGGCTCCCGGAGGGTTGATCGAAGGGATCGCCGATTACATCAGGCTCAAAGCGGGTCTCGCCCCGGGTCACTGGGTCGGTCCGGGTCAGGGTGACCGGTGGGACCAAGGTTATGACGTCACGGCCCGGTTTCTGGATTATTGCGATAGTCTGAGGACCGGATTTGTGGCGGAGCTGAACAAGAAGATGAGAGATGGATATGATAACAACTACTTCGTTGAGTTGCTGGGGAAATCGGTTGATGATCTCTTCACTGATTACAAAGCTAAATATAATTCTAACTGATTTTATGATCAAATGATTGAATATATAATAATGATATATACAAATTTGATAAATTTGGCTTATATATCTTTTATTGCACGCAAAAAGATAATGATAATAATTTCTACGTACGAGTTGTGCGATGGGTTAATTGGTTGATGTACTATCTTTTCTTTTCTTTTTCTTTTTTTTTCTTCCCTTTTTTTTATTGAAAAGAAATGTTGTGAATATTAGTTATACAGTAGGTTATAGCATTTTCATGATACGGACAAAAATAACATTTTGTTATACTCAACCGCTTTTGGAGATGAAAAAAGCTGGAATAGTTAAGATTGGTGTAAATCTGAAGCAACAGTTCATTACAAATGGTATTCTTTTTGTTTCGAGTTAATATTCCATCTTGTTACGTTAAAATAATAGAATTATAAATTAATTATTAATTAAAATGAGTGAACGTCGACCATAGAGTCCGTATCCGGTGCACTCGGTTGTACGGACAAACAGAAAAACAAAAAATTCAAAAATATTGATATGGTTATCTTTTACAAAAAATGAGACAAACAGAAAAACAAAAAATTCAAAAATATTGGATATCCAGTACAAATCAGTTGGATATCCAGCAAATAAAATTTGGATACGCAAGTAAATTCGTTGGATAACCAGTACACATAAGCTGGATATCCAGTACAAATAACTTGGATATCCAGTACAAACATGTTGGATATCCAACACAGCATAACTGCTTATCCACTTCATACAACATTAACAAAAACAGAACTGTGAAAAACTAGATTGATTATTCTCTCACAAACAGTACACTCCGAACTGTGAAAAAACACCAATTCAATATAAACAACTTAAAAATGTTGGATATCCAGTACAAATCAGTTAGATATCCAGCAAATAAAATTTGGATACGCATGTAAATCAGTTGGATAACCAGTACACATAAGCTAGATATCCAGCACAAACAAGTTGGATATCCAGTACAAACATTTTGAATATCCAACACAGAATAACTGCTTATCCACTTCATACAACATTAACAAAAACAGAACTGTGATAAAATTTGATTGATTACAGTACACTCCGAAACCTACACAAACCTGATTCCAGCTGATCTACAACAGAACTGTGACCTTGTGTTGATTTGCTGGCATAGTAAGATTGTTCGATGGATTTGCTACCACTACATTCCGCATTCATCAAGCCGGAATCATCAACGACATAACTCATCACTCGATCTAAACTCAGCATATCGTCAATCCAATCACCGTTTCGCCACTCTGGTGGAATCAGAGCCTTTCCTCGATCGTTGAACGCCGTCGCCGTCTCAACGACTCGATCGCCGCCGGCCGTGTCCACCACAACGCCTCGATCGTCGACTCCCATTGCCGCCTCAACGCCTCGATCGCCGCCTGCCATCGCCCATCAATAATACTCTATCACAAAGTTTTTCAAATTTGAATGAATTCGGTTATTTATATAATCCCGTGTTTAAAAAAAAAAAAGCTAAATTATAATAGCGGACCAACGTTATTGTAAGAGAGTAAGATACACGTACATGGGGGGACGCGGTACCCCCGGGTGTATCAGATAATTTGCCTCGACCATATGAACTTATAGGTGGAGCAAAGTAGCCATTTTATCACAAAACAACAATAATCCTTATTATGGCCAATAAAATCCGTAGGGCCAAAAGCAGCTACGAGTCGTAGCTAGGACATGCTTATTGCGAGTAACGTTAAGAAAGAACCCTACAAGTTATTCACCTTAATCTTTTTTTTTCTTACTTAATATTGGATCTAAGGATTTAAATATATTGAGGTTCGGTGATAATAAAGCTATCTAGGAAATTACTTTCTGTCTGAAAATAATTATTCATTTTGAGTGAAAATCATACTTAAAGAAAATCAAATCGCATAATCATTGCACTACGAATGAGAGTATCAAATTAACTCAATTATCTTCCCTAATCAACAATGGCAAGTCACAGCTTTTGGGAGTACCAAATGCAAACACATTATCAATATTTTTTTGGGCAGTGCCGTAATTAGAATGGTGGGAAAAATGTTATGACCTTGTTTATTTTTGAGAATGCATCAGTAAATCTATTGTATTATTCAATAATATTACTCTCTCTCTCTCTCTCTCTCTCTCTCTCTCTCTCTCTCTCTCTCTCTCTCTCTATTTGCCTATTTTTGTACTTACTTTTAGTGAAATCATGTCTATTAGTTTAGTATAACAGATATAACCATTTTATTTTTAAATGATTGTTTCATCTGACGTACTAAAAACAATAAAATAAATAAATAATTATTTCAGAGTATATATCAACTTTGAATTAGCTAGGCATCAGTTTCCTGGTCGCGTACGTCCTAAGGATCCAAACCGATTAGAAAGTGACTTAATCATACAATGTGCCATTGGAGATCTTCCACATTCAAAGTCAAACGCTATCTTTTCTTTTTCTTTTTTTTCCTTTTTTTGGTAAATAAGTCACATGCTATCTTACTTTATTCATAGGAGTCTTCATTTGCTACACCATGAAATGAAAAAAATAACTTCATCAAAATTGACTTCTAATGTGTGGAGGCATGTTAGGCAGGAACAGTTGACTAAGTCCTCTCTGGAAACTATGGTCTAAAGTCGGGTTGTGATCGTAAAGAACATTCAAAGCCAAATTTTATATTTGTAAGAGTCTTAACAGTTATATTAATTTAATTCAACAGATGTGACATCTTCTAGACGAAATGATTTATTTTTATGGTACTTCAAATTGGTATATATGTGTGTGAAGAATGTTTCATTTCATTAAAAGAATCTAAGGTTATATTTGTTTTGTTTTTTAGTGTGTGTTTTTAGGTGTTTTTTGTATTGTGAATATAAAAAAGTGTATTACTGAAAATGTAAAAACGTGTACTGAGATGGGACAGTTATTAATATATTAATTTAAAAAAAAATAAAAAAATGAAACAAACAAAGCCTAAATTTCATCCTTATATTTTACCACTGATCAGTGATCTAAAATGAGATTTTGAGATGCAAAGATTACTAGTCAACGTTTAGCTTATACTTGTGTATTAGTTATTCACGTTAATAATCCGAGAAAAACCATAAGCCAAAGGTATTTGTTGTTTCCAAAACCAAAAATACATAGAGAGAATGTCACCCATGGTTTGGAGTTTGGACCCTTATGGTAGTTTATCTCTCTTGTGTAGTGATTTACACCATCGAATGCGGTTTGGGTTTATCTGTTTCTTCTGTAACAGAGTTCCAATGTTACAAAATAAAGTCATTGCATTAATTGATTTTCTTCTTTAAGAAAATAATAATGCTGATAATATTATATTTTATTTGTCTCAAAGTCTTGTTCTAATTATTATACTCTCTCTATTTCAATTTGTAGGTCGTTTTAGATTTGGAGAGATTTTTCAAAATGTAGGTCGTTTTTACAAATTCTAGGCAAATTAATGACTATTTTTCCAACTTTACTCTCAATAAATGATGCATATATATTTTCGTTTAGTCTTGTTTATAGTTCAAATGTAATTAATAATGGGCCAAAAGATACTCCTTCCATTCCAAAATAAGTGTCGTTTTAGCAAAATGGAGAAATTCCAAAATAAGTGTCGTTCTCACATTTCAATGCACTTTTTGTCAAAAGTTTTCAAAATTACCCTCAAAAGAGTTGATGCTATTGATGGATAATTTTATAATGGGGTTGGTTGAGGATATTCAAATAATTTTATTACCTTATTTAAGAGTTTCTTAAACTATGTGCAAAGTGTAGGACGACACTTATTTTGGAATAGAGAGAGTATTTAACACATAAATTAATTGTTGAATGATTGTCTTCTTAGTTTACGTACAAAGATTTAAGTGATTTACATTTTGAAATGGAGGGAGTATTGTTTTGATACAGAAAACAGTCGAATAATTTTAAGATAGAAGGAGTATTATTATTTTTTTTAATTTTTTTTTCCTTGGCCAAAGTCGTCGAAGCTTCTAATAAAGTAACCGATACTAGTTTTACACAATTGATCAAAAGTATCGTCAGCTTACATTTTTCCACAGGCATATATAAGTTGCTCCAATATGCTGATTTCCAAACACAAACACAGGCGAAGAAGTTAAGAGGGAAATTAAGAAAAGAGGCAGCCATGAGGTCTTCCACATCAAGCTTTGTTATCATTGTTGTTGTTTCTCTCGCTATCGCCATTGTAAATGGCAATTCCGAAGGTACGTCCACAAAACTCATGATCTCGTCTCGTGATTATAATTTATATTAATATATCGTTCTTTCTTAAGATCTTCCAAGTCTTCGTCAAATTATTTAATACAACATTTCTTCTTCATATCAGATCATCATCACCGATCGAGTAATATTTTCAACCTCTTGATTTTGTAGAAGTAAATTAAATTATTATTATTTTTTGGTTGAGCAGGGGATGCGCTTAATGCATTCAAGGCCTCAGTGATGGATCCAAATAATGTGCTTCAGAGTTGGGATCCAACTTTGGTTAATCCTTGTACCTGGTTTCATGTCACTTGCAATATTGAAAACAGTGTAACAAGAGTGTAAGTTTTTTTCTTAATTTTGCACTCTGATTAAATTTTTGGATAGCAAATACTACTGCCAAATGTGACACTTTACCTTAATCTTATTGAATTATAGCTTCTGATAAAATGACACATTTGATAAGGGATCTTGGAAATGCGGGACTTTCTGGGACTCTTGTGCCTCAACTCGGATTATTGCCCAATCTTCAGTATTTGTGAGCCTACTATAAAATTGTGTTCAACTAGTGTTTTGATCAACGATTTTTAAACTCTTGGTTTCATTTTCACATTTAATTGTGCATTTTATCACTTAATTAATTGTAGGGAATTGTTTGGTAACCATTTGTCTGGAAGAATTCCAGCAGAGTTGGGAAACCTCACAAGACTGGTTAGCTTGGATCTTTACAGCAATCAATTAACTGGTTTAATCCCGGCAGAATTGGGGAACTTGCGGTTATTGAGATTTTTGTAAGTCAAAATTCTTTAATCTGGCAATGAAGCAACTACAGAAATGATATATTTGTATACAATTTTAATTAAATAGATAAGACTCCGATTTTTATTTTTATTTTTTTAGTGATGGAGGTAATATTTACTTATTGAAATTAACTTAATTGTGTTTTCATATGCAGGCGGCTGAACAATAACAAGTTATCTGGAAATTTGCCGGACTCCATTATCCTGCTCATCAATCATGGCCAGTTACAAATATTGTGAGTGTTTGTATTTTTTTTTTATTGAAAATGAGTAAATTATAACTACGATAATCATTTCAGAAAGGAACAATAGATCACTTTGAGCATAATTATAGTAGTATATAATGATAAAAATGCAATGAACCCGATTATTAATAATCAATATATTGTTGTTTTATTGTTTTATAGAAATGTGGCGGATAATAAATTGGCAGGAACAGTGCGGGCGACTAACAAAACAGGTTTCTTCCTTTTGTTTTCCTTTGTACCTTTTTTCCCCTTATTTATTTTTTTTTTTGGCACTCTCATGTACTCTTATTACACTGAATCCATGGATTTTTTTGTTTTCAGGGTTTACTATTACCACAATTATTCAAGATCCTAAAGCTCCGAAAGCCTAGACATTGGAAGATGATGACAATTTTAAATGATAATTCGAGGCACAGATTGTGTAACTACTGTGGAACGATTTATCATTTTTTGTTATCTCTTTGTCATGAGGACAATAAAATGAAACATTCATATATAATTTAAACTGGGTTATTGTTTGCTTTCAATTTCAAGGAGTGAAATTAGTCTATGTATTCAAGAATAATGGGTTATAAATATTAATTTTTTTAAAAATAGGAATTAATGTTAGATTTTTCATCAATTTAATGGGGTTTTCATTACCTTTTTTTAGCCAAAAGAAGGTATCATATTTTTTTTGGAAGGAAAACAGAGCACAAGAATTGGTGAAAATTCTCTCTTAGACAATTGTTTTAATAATAGGATATTTATATTGATTGTAATGATTTCCTCCCCAGTTTTATGACCTACATCGTCACCAAACTTGTCGTCGCCGATTTGGTCTCTTTAATTCCAATTTCTAAGTGCTTGTTTCGACGTCAATTCCGTTTTCATTTTCGACTTGAATGTAGGAAGGAATCCGTATCTAGTGCATCTGGATGTATCGTATACCCCCCAAACACACGCGATATACGCGCTCAACTATTTTCACCTTTACATTAAATGCACAAACAAAATTGTTTTCATCCATTTTACTGTTTTCATCCTCACGCACAAACACACACAATTGCTGGTTATCCATAATTTATTGATTATCCATAATTTTGTTACTGATTATCCACTAGATCTGAACTGGTTATCCATGTTTTCATGCGTGTGCTATGTGATGGTTGTCCATGCCATAATTGCTAGTTATCCACTCATTTCATACTGGTTATCCACAAATTGTAAACAGGTTATCTAGAAGGTGTAAACTAGTTATCCACAAGTTGTAAACTGGTTATCCAGAAGGTGTAAACTGGTTATCCAGAAGGTGTAAACCGGTTATCTACAAGTTGTAAAATGGTTATCCAGAAGGTGTAAACTGATTATCTAGAGGTAAAGAAGTAAACGACATGTTAATTTGGGGACTTTGCCCTCCATAATAAACTAAACGACTCCCGCGGCTACCGGAATCGCAGGTCACCAACCTGTCCCGGCTGCGCCGCCCCGCCGAACACGCCAATGTAGATAATGTAATCTTTTTTTCGTGTGTGTTTAAGGAGAGTGTGTGTGTGTAAGGAGAGTGTGTTATTGCGTTAAGAAGGGACACAAATTATTTGTATAAATCCCCCCGTGATAAACTAAACGACCCGGCTGCGCCGCCCCCCCTGCCGAACGCCTTGATCGTCGACTCCCATTGCCGCCTCAACGCCTCGATCGCCGCCGGCCGTCGCCCAACAATAATACTCCATCACAAAATTTTCAAAATTTGAATGAATTCGGTAATTTATATATGCCGCGTTTAAAAAAATAAAGAAAAAGAAAGCTGAATTATCTAGCGGACTCACGCTATTTTAAGAGAGTAAAGTACACGCGCAGGGGGGTATACGGTACCCCCGGGTGTACCGGATAATTTGCCGTAGAAAGTGCTCCCTCCATCCTACAAAAATAGTCCAGTCTAAATAAAAAAATTTTGTCCCAAAAAAATAATCCGGTTTTACAAAAGTCAAAATTAATTGAATTGAAATGACTTAAATATTCAAAAGAGCAGTCGTAGGGAAAACAAAGTCCACTTACTTTGATTTTTATTTTTCTTAAGTTTTCTCCCAATTTTTCAAATGATTATATCTTTTTATACATGAATAATTAAAAAATGTGTTATATATCAAATTAATCTACATAACGAGATCTTTTGATCAATATCCATTGTCAATATTTTTTGAGATAAAAATTTTGGTCAAATTTAAGTTGTAAAATAAATGCATATGTAGTTAACTTTTATATAAATAACTAAAAGAAACATTAGTGAAAGTTAGTGGCATAAAATGAGTTGTACATTTGGTGTGTTGACCAAATTAAAAAAATTGTACATTTTCAAACTGGACTATTTTTGTGAGACAGGGGGAGTATTTTAATTGGAAAACATAATAAGAGATGAAAAAATTGTTTGGATGATATCTTTAGCAAAAATTTGTTTGGATAGTAGTTAGAAAAAAGTTTTTTGGAATATGTATTGAAATATCAAATACGAAAAATATCACTAAACAATCGAAAAATGTCAATTTTAGTTACTGTAAAAAAAGAATTTAAAAAACAATCACTAAACAACGGAAGAGTGTCGATTTTAGTCACTGTAAAATGATCACTAAAATCACAGTATAACTTCTAATATTTTACAGTTACCAAAATCGACACTTTTTCGTTATTTAGTGATCATTTTTGAAATTCTTTTTTTACAGTGACTAAAATTGACACTTTTTAATTGTTTAGTGATATTTGTCGCACTTGATATTTCAATACATATTCCAAAACACTTTTTCTTAACCACCATGAATTGGGCCTTAGTTTTTTGACCAGAGGCAAACTGAAATAAATGTGCAAAATTTTGAATTTAGCCATTGAACTTTTTTTAGTTCAAAAAATGGTCACTCCACTAATAAAATGTTTCAAGTTTGATTTTAAGATGTAATTCAGAAAGTTTTTTGGACGGTTGTTTATTTTGTATTGGGTTTTGTGTTTAAGAGGTAAATTGAGTTGAAAATGAAAAATGAGTGGACGTCCAAACAAAGCCTAAGGGCTTGTTTGGCCAACATTTTATTTTTGTCTTTGTTTTTATTTTTGATTTGGGTTTGATATGTGATTTAAAATGTGGTTTGAGAGAAAATTTAAAAAGTTGTTTGGGTAATATTTTAAATAAAATAATAATATTTTTAGACCACCATCGGACTACTTCCACCACCGGCGCCGCCGCCGGACCGCCGGGTCGGCCGGTTTCCGGCCAAGTCGTCGGAATCCGATCAGAAAATCGGCTGGCGGCGGTGAGCGGTTCAGCGGCGGACGGTGGTGGCGGAAGTAGTCCGATAGTGGTGTAAAAGAATAATGTAAAAATAATGTTTGAAATAAATTTTAAAAAATAAATTAAAAAGTTGTTCGGATAGTATTGAATTTTGTGTTTGAAATGTGTTTTAAAAGGTAAAATGAGAGAAAATGCAAAATGTGGTGTTGGTCAAACAAGACCTAAATGATCCAGTATTATTTGTAAGCACGTACGTGCGAGGTCGAATTAGTAATAATACTATCAATGAATTGAATAATATAGCATACACACAAATGTGTAATTCTATTTGATGTAAGCATATTTTGGGTTTTATGATTAGTTAAAGATTGTAAATCTTTGTTGTCCCAAAATGATATACATATGTTGTTAAAACAGTTTCTTTTTTTTGTTTTTCTTTTTTTTTTCAAAAAAAGGGACGAAGAAGGGAGTAATATTTACTAAACTAATCTTCAATATCTATTTACAGTAGAACATCGATAAATTAATAATTGATAAATTAATAACGTCTAATAATTAATAATTTTCTTCGGTCCCAACTTGGGACCAATACAAAAAATTAAAAAAAAAAACGATAAAATGATAAGACAATAATATTTCAAAAAATCCTCAATATATCTATAGGTCCCGACAATAACATAAATTAATAAATACTCTAAATAAAAAAAATAATGATACATTTTGTAAATTAAAAACTATTAATAATTTTTTTTAGTCTGAGATAATGATGTGAACTATGTTTAGTATCGAAAAAAGTGCCAATACTTACTTGATTTGGATGATGTGTAAATGAAAATTAGATAATTTAGTGAGGATTATTTGTTTTTCTTAAGGAAACTCTTTAAATTAATTATTATTTATTAATTTATCGATTATTTAATAATTTTCTAAATTAATAAATTTTGGTGGTCCTAACACAATTAATTTATAGAAGTTCTATGTAGCTTAAAATGAACCAAGTTGTACAGCAAAAATCCAATTTTATTGTTTGTACTCTTGCGAGGATATTTTCAGCTCAAACCTCGACGTGATCTAGGCATTTAAGAAAATTAGCTACTATAAAAGTTAGAACATATGAACTAAGTTCAAGTAGCTGTAGCCTCTTCAATTATCATTATCACAATAATTGTGGCCAAAGATTTAGCCTTAGAAGTTGATTTCCTTTTAATTTGACCTTAATTAGATGCGAACCTAGGTTGAGCAACAACAAAGCTGCATATATAGAAGGTTATCAAATAATTCCATTATCTAAGCTACTCAACTATGACCGCTTAAAATTTTTAGGAGTACCTCATCAAAAACACCTTTCCTAGAATATTGATAGCAAAAAATTGAAAAAGCTATGACCTTGTTACTTTTGTTGCTTGTAGAGAGGAACGTATAAAAAAATGAATTCTTATTATTCAAATATGTTATTTGTCCGTCTCATCATAATAGTTCATTTTATTGGATTAAAAATCAGACAATTAAGGGATTGTGAACACAGGACAAAGTTAAAAAAAAAAAAAAAAAGAAGATCCAAATAGATGAGAAAGCGACTTAATGCATGTAATAATCTAAGGTTGAATTAAGACTTCCACATTCAAAGTCATATGTTTGATCGTCTCTTGTTTTACAACATTAATTAAAGTAATTTTATTCCCATTTGACTTCTAATAGCTGGAGGCACATTAAGCAGCATCAGTAGGCATAATCCTCTGGAAAATACGGTGTGAATTCGGTCGTCGGTGTTGTGATCGTAAACAACTACGATTCAAAAATAATAATAGTCATATTTGTTTCATCAAATATCCCAATTTGTTTCGTTCTTTCTCCATTTTCCTTTCTTTCTAAAGCCCGCGGTTCCATTTTAACCTAATGAATCTGTCATTCACTTTAATCCTAGAAACGAATGGCTTTGTTAAAAAAAATTAAAAATTAATTGTATTATTTACTCCCATTTTGGATCCATCTAGTCTTAAAAAAATACATACATTTCTTATTTCATTAACTTACCCAAATATACCGCCATTTCATATTAAATGGGGGAAAGAAATTCTGGTCAAATGTCTAGCTAGGCTAAACTCATGGAGGCTTCTACGTACAGTACATGGTCAATAATAGAGTTATAATGATCGTCATAAGTCAAATTATAGTGCATTATTAATTATAACTTCTTTTAATTTGCTTGAATTAGCCCCTTTCGATCGGTCGTATTTTTCCCAGTAATCCTATATGTATAAATAGGTGCTCCACTAGATCAATCTGCCAACCCAGAAAAAAAAAACACACACACACACACAAACAAAGAACAAACCGAAAAAAGAGAGAGAGAGAGAGAGCAAAATTCTTATCATTATTTCTTTTGATTAAATTAATTTGATCATAGTACTGTCATTAATTTCATGATGTCTTTCAACATCCGGCCTTGTTATCATTCTTGTTCTTTCTCTAGCAATCGCCACCGCAAATGGCAATGCTGAAGGTACGTTTGCAAACATATATATGCTCATGATCTCGTAATTACGATTTACAATTTCTGTTTCTTATCACTTTTTGAATTTTTCGTTTTCAGTTTAATTTTTTTTTTTTATTTTTTGGTTGAGCAGGGGATGCGCTTAATGCATTCAAGGCCTCAGTGATGGATCCAAATAATGTGCTTCAGAGTTGGGATCCAACTTTGGTTAATCCTTGTACCTGGTTTCATGTCACTTGCAATATTGAAAACAGTGTAACAAGAGTGTAAGTTTTTTTCTTAATTTTGCACTCTGATTAAATTTTTGGATAGCAAATACTACTGCCAAATGTGACACTTTACCTTAATCTTATTGAATTATAGCTTCTGATAAAATGACACATTTGTGAAGGGATCTTGGAAATGCGGGACTTTCTGGGACTCTTGTGCCTCAACTCGGATTATTGCACAATCTTCAGTATTTGTGAGAATATTATCAGTGTATTGAACTGTTTTTCTTTTTTTCTTTTTTTTTTTATAAAAAAATTAGTTTCTTTGTCTTTATTTCGGATTTAATTGTGTAATATTTATGTAGATTGATTTTTTTTTTTTAAGGGAGTTGTATGGTAACAATTTGACTGGGATAATTCCACCAGAGTTGGGGAACCTCCCTAGCCTGGTTAGCTTGGACCTTTACAGCAATCGCTTGAGCGGTCCAATGCCACAAACTCTGGGAAAGTCGCGATCATTGAGATTTTTGTAAGTCAAAATTCTTTGATCTCTAAATTGAGTGGCTAATTGACTACTTGAGTGATTTATTCTAGTAGTCTTTTCTATATGGAGTATTGGGCATGCAGTCTTTTCTCTTCTTTTTTTTTAATACAAAGAAGGAGGTCGAAGTAGAAGATCATTAAATTACAACATTCACAGATATGACATTCCAATTATATCGTGTTCTAATTACGATTTCGCTATACCAGATGGAGCATCTAGAAAATGATAACCTTAGGGCCTGTGCATATAGTCTTTGGTTCAACATAGTGGATTTAATAGTTTAGATTATACTTTTCTTCCTCCTAAAGGAAAAACTAATGTTTGCTGCAATGCTTTTATTCTAAAAATAAGATTCTAATTTTGGGATAATCATCAAAATAAATTAAACTTAACCTTGTTTTGATATACAGGGGGTTGAACAATAATAAACTAACTGGAAAGTTACCGGACTCCATTATCCTGCTGATCAATTACGGCCAACTGCAAATTCTGTGAGTATTTTAGATATACATATACATATTGTTTAGACCACTTTAATTGAGCATAAGGATTTGAGTATCTAATAAATAATGGTAGAATGCTAGCTATAATCCCCATATTATTGAATAATAATCAGTTGCCCATTTTATTGTTTTATTATAATATATAGGAATGTAGCAGATAATAAATTGGCAGGAACAATCAGGGCCACCAAGAAAACAGGTTTGTTTTTTCTTAAAAATTTAACTTTTTATTAGGTTTTTCTTTTTTTTTAACTCTTATTGCTAAATCTTATTTCTTTCCTTTTTTTTCCCCATTTTCTTTCCTCTCTGTCCATCAAATTTAATTTGTTTTCAGGGTTTGCAATTACCACGGTTATTCAAGATCCAAAAGCTCCAAAAGCAAAGCCATGACAATTTCAGACAATAAATTATAGGCGTATTTCGTTCGAAACAAGAAATGATTACAACTCAACTTTTCTCCAATAGAAATTATTGAGAAATGTACCATTTGGTGCTTTCCCGATTCGTATTCTAATTGAATTTCTTAACGCCTCCACTAAATTATCTGCATCGATCCAACGTTTCTTTTGGTCAACAAATGATATAACTAGTTTAATTAACATCTATCTCCTTTGTTCAAAAAATGCCCGTCGTGTTTATTATAAAAAATATTTTACTATTATTACGTGAACTTGACTGAATGAGTACTTGTTCGTGTGGTAATTTTTTTCACCGGTAGGAAGTTGTGTTCAAGGCAATGTATGAACTTAACCCGATAATAAAAATTACTTTTTTTCCCAAATATTGTGGGGCTAATGAGTGTCTTAATTAGTTAATTTGGACATCCCAAGTGTGACCTACTTGGGTCAGTTTGTCTGGGATTGTCCCAAATTAAACTAATATGACTAATAAACTACAATAATTTCGCCTCACTAATAAAACATGATTAGTACACTAAAACAAATAGATGAAAAGAGCCATTAATTATAAATGAACTTAATATTTGTTTAATGAGCCAGCTCGATTACTGATGTTTCCACATCCTGGTGGTGATGATCTTCAAGAAAGTTGGATTGATGGGTGACATAAATTGGATTTTCGAAAGGTTCTTTGGACAATCTGTTGCTCTCGTTTATATTTGAGGAACTTCCACCTCTTCTTCCTCCTCTTGCCCAGTCCAAAATAAGCCCTTGTGTGTACGCATCGAACATCCCTTGTTTAAACATACTACCCATCTACATTCATTTGAGTAATAAAAATATGTATGTTAGAATGTAATCTCAAAATATAATGAAAATCTTTTTAAGAAATGATGTGACGCATATTAGATTTTTATTATCGTCCCTTGTAAACTTTTCATTTTTAATGAGTATGTGTGCGATGATCTTATGATCTTATCGACTGTGGATGAATGATTTTCCTAATCATTCTGACGACAAAATTCAATACCAAAATCATTACTCTCGCTATCAAATTATGTAGCTTGCATGAAATCTGGACTTTGAGTAGGGGTTTTACACTACTGAATATGGTTACCTGTGTGACTAGAGCATACAAAGGTAGTGTGCTGTAACTGCAAAGAACCTGCACTATTATTCTGCAAAACCAATATCCAACAAATCAAGGGTTAATGAAGCTATTTTGAGTGTTAAGGATTCATCTATCACTTAATTTATCACTTAATGAAGCTATGTTGTTCCCTTAATTTATCATGACTTTTTGAGGACCAATATGATTTTTTTAAAAATAAATAAATAAATAAATAGAGGTATGCCAAAGTAATTGTTTACCCCACAACAAGTCTTGGAATGATGAAACCTAAATCTTCCATAATGCATGACTTGAATCCATAAGTGCTCTGCCAAAGTAAAAAACAAAACATTCAAGATAAGAGTTCAGCCTGTTAAATACATTGTTTTAATTCAATAATCTTATTTTGGGACGAAAAGAAAGAGTATTTTATATGTGAATAATGCTTACCCAAACCCAGAAGAGAAAAGCCATCTCAAAGGAATTTTGGAAGAGTATGAAGTGAATCAGGTAGAGAACAAGAGCTGGTCTATGAAACCAAAATAGCTCATCAGAGGGCTTCACATGTGTATTATTAGCATCGCCTCCTCTTCCTCCTCCCCCTCTTTCACTACTTTCTACATACTCTTTTGCTAATTTTGTAATTATGTGTTCCAATTTTGCTCCCACAAGTAGTAGTAGCTGCAGTTTCAAACATATAATTAATTTCACCAACTTAATTATTTTCTTTTTAAAAAATTGATAAGTAAAAGAAATAATGAAAATTTATAATAATATATGGATATATGAATCATAAGCTAAAGAGGTTGTTTAATCACTTACTATTAAAGGTAAAAATGATAGCCAAAAGTATGAATGCCATCCTGCAACAACAATTTTTTACCATGGAATTTATGGTTAAAAAGGTGTTTCATATGCTTTCTAATTGCTGGTTAACTAGCAACATAACTCAATAAAAATTAATTTGTTGACTTAATGATGTACCTGCTAAATTCAGCAGCAAAAAGATCATGACAAAGATCCACAAGTACCAGCTGTTCAAGATGAACTATCAATATTATTAATTAATTAATTATAATAAAATTTGATCTAAGCAAAGATTAAAAATTTACTTCAAGAAGACACTATATATAATATTTCACCTTATACCAACTATTTTCTTGAAATCTTGTTCGAGGGTCCTCAGCATATAATCATGAAAATTAAAATCAGGCATTGATGGACAGTGGGCCTAAAATTAAGTAAACAAATTAGGGTTAGAGAAAAGTTACTTGAATTAGTTAAACCAATTTGAATAATTGAAAATGAGGGGAACTGGTACACGAATAAATCCGGTTCGTAAGGCAATGTAGTCAGACTTGGTGACTGAACCATAAAACTGTTTGAAGAATGCCACCTGCGACGAATTATCGAGTGTATCAATCGTGTTTCATTTAAATAAAAAACGAGTTTTATGAACGTAGTTTAAGAAATTAAAATTACAGGTCAGTGGGTTATAAAGAAAGCTTACCGTCCAGCTTACAACTCTAAACTTTCTCCAATATCTGCCAGCTCTCTCGGTGAATATTCGATGGTGTATATGAATCGAATGATGGGCTGCAAGAGCTATTCGATTAGGGAAGGGGAAAAAAAATTAATATGTACTAATATTAATTCCATAAAAATATCATTGAAACTAGCCCTAATTAATTAATTTTGTTCCTTACAAAATAATGTCACTTATTACCATTTGGTGCTTTGGTGATCTCATTTCTAATCGAATTCTCCCAATGCTTCCACTGACTAATCTGCATTTGTTACAAAGTCGGTGGTGATCAACTTCATTTACTACTCTCAATATATAATATATATGACAAAACCATATGCATTTGTTACTCTCAGAGGAGGTCTCTAGCATCCATTTCGTACGTGCGAGATTCTAAAAAAAATGTAAATTATATGTATACCTTCAGTCCTCCCAGAAGCATGGTGGAAACACAGAAGATGACATGAACCACAGCCAGTACAAAGATGAAAATGTGCAGTTGGTGGAGTGCCTCCAGTGATAACAGTGGTAACATTCCCTGTGCATCATCATCAATAACACAATTTTCCTTAATCCTTTGTTCAGTCAGAATTATATTCGTTTTGTCCCAGAAACATAATGCACATTACAATTTGTGAATTTGTACCTCTTTTTAAACCTAATTTTCACATACTACAATGTGGACTGTTTATTGTGAGAGAAGGAGTACTAAAATTGAACATCTAAATAAAATAATTATTTTAGGACTGAAAGAATGTTACGTTATGTTTTAATTTAATTAGTATTCCCATTTCACGAAAAGAAAAGAATTATACCTTACGTGCACATTTTTCCATGCTATTGTCTTCAGTTGCCAAAAGTCTCCTTCTGTTGATATAATCTACCGTGCTAAGATGACCAGAACCACCACCAGAGGAAAGGCTTCGATCGTTTGGAAGCTTACATGGAAGCATTACACTTGCAGCACTAACAGGGATGCATATATTGCTAATTGATCCTTGGAATACCGTCAATAGTAATGAAATAAACCCCAATAGCATCAACTCTACACATTTTCAATCACAGTCAACAAAAAAATTAACAAATAAATTCGTATCAACAATTACATACGTCTCAAAGTAATAGTCATATTTGTCGAATTATATTAATTCAGTAGATACATAGAACTCTTATTTTAAGACGGAAACAATAATATCGATCAAATCAACTTACCTTCCTTGACCTTCTCTAAGGCATCATACAAGGAGTCTTGCTTCTTACGCTTGAAGAACTAACAATTTTTCAACCATAACAAAATGCAAAAAAAAGAAGTCAGTCAAATCCATTCAAGTTCTGTAAGATCAGCAAATCAATGATGCAAATTTCGATGAAGACGGAACTCGGATACCTTGCCTAGTCGATGAAGACCTCGTTCGGCCATGAATGACAAAAGAACAATGACAAAGCAGACGACGGTCACAACCCATGTCGGAGTATACCCCATGGACCGACCCGGCTCCTCCGTAGCCATGTCTAGCTTAGTTAGCTAGAATCGATCTTTTTGTTCAGTAAATTGTATCAATGAAAATGACATGTATGAAATATGATGGAGATGATCATCAATGCAAGCCAAATATGTATGATTTATACGCTGAATCATTGAATAGAATTTCATTGTTTGCATAACGTGAATCATAGCAACAAAAAAAAAAGACCATTTTGAGGCAAAGAATATTTCCAACTGAAGAAAATGTTAGCCAGGACCAGTCGGCAAGCAAAGAACAAACATCCTGCATATCCTGTTCCAGGATCATTTTCCCATTGAAAATAAAAAAAATAAAAATGGATAGAGAGTGTGAAACTACACTTGTTTAAGTCTTCTTTCAAACAGTAGTAGCTCGAGCAATTTGAAGCCTTGTTTTTGAGTTGCTTAAAGAGCAATTTACAGTAATATCTAGTCAGAACTTTACAACGATATAATCAGAAGACAATCTATAACCATAAGTAAAAACAAGAATCAACAATCAAGAACAAAAAGAGTATGTGTGAAACTATGAAGATCGAGAGAATGATCAGCGCAAAAAAAATTAAAACCAAAGAAGTTTGCCAGGAGGAGGAACTTACACAAGTTTGGAACTGCCCTATGATATCTCTATTCTTATTGTCTTTTGAGAGTTCAACATTCAATTTACAACAGGAGCATACACATACGGGTCAAAATGTTGTCATTGCAGGCACTTAAGCTATCTTGCTAACTAAATTACCCTATAGCCTATGCTACTGAAAGAGAGCAGAGAGCTGAGGGGATATTCTTCCCTCTTCAAAGCCTCACAAAGATAATTTTACAATTGGCAGAGCGATAAGACTGACTATCCTATGCATCAAGTGCTCTACTAATGGGATCTGAAAGACACTAAAGTCTGGACGGTTCTCACAAATATCGCTCATTGTCAAATAAATACCACATTGGTGAAGGACTGGCTGCAAATGAAAACGTCAAAGATTTACAGATTGGCGGGGGTTTGGTGGTACATAGTTAAATTCACCACAGTCAGGAGGAGTAAGCATAAGCGGATTACAACGGTCAAACACAATTCTACCACCACGTCCCATCCTTCCCCGAAATGTAGGTAATGGTGTCGATTCATTGTTTGGTAGTGAAGAAGCTGATGGTGGAGTAATGCCAGCAGCAACCAGCTTTTCAGGAACTAGTGGCTTGGTAAACAGCATAACTGGCTCATCCGGATCCTGCATTTGATCCAAAAAGGGGGGAAAACAAGAAGACTTTGCTTAAATACATAGACACTTTTTTTAAAAAAAGGAAGCAAGTATCCACAAACACTGTAACAAATAAAAATGACAAGTTAAATTGCTCCATTGATACCAGTTTATTTAGCCATCCATTTGGCCGTTTAAACTCTCGCCTCATATTTACTGCAGAAGCCATTCCCAGCTTTGAGTCCACAAAGGAAGGATGCTGTAAAGCTGCAGGCCGCATGCGAGGACGGCTATTAGCAACATCATCAGAATCCACAAATTCCTCTTCACTTGAAACCACCTTGCTGGGGAATGATGGCAATCCAGGTAAGGCCAAACTGTCTTCAAGAAGGCCGGTTTCATTCTGGAGATGAATGCAACTCCAAATCAGTTGGTTGATTCAATAAATACAATAATTTCAACAACTAGCAACAACAGAGCTGATAAAACTATAAAACCACACAAGCATCTTGTCTCTGTAAGCATGCATTTTCCAAGCTACAATGCATATGGTTCTCCAGCAAAATAACCATTTACGTTACTAGCATTTGATACATTTGATTTGTACATTTAAACATGGAGATCCAGTGATACCTTGTACTTCATTTGAATCCGTTGAAGGGCAACCTCACTCTCCATAACATCCCTTTTCTTCTCTTCTCTCTAAACAACATCAAGTTCAGTATATTACCACCATGATATTCAAGCAGTAAACATCAGTTCATACACACCAATTCGCAACCATCTTAAAAGTCAATATGTAGAAATATACCTTAACCAAAGCCTCTAGTATGGTCTTTGCTTGTTCAAGATTTCGTCTGACCTGGAGTGAGTGGCATAGAAGACTTAACTTGAAATATTTGAATAAGATAATTGTCGTAAGATAAAAATAATGCTCAAATACAAATTATTACAAAAAGATATCATTCCATTATTGCATTTCAATTCAGCTCAATAAAGGAATATCAATATAAAACCAGAATCTCTAAAGTGATTGACCTAAGGGGATCTGTTATGGTCAAAAAATAGTTCAAAACTCGATGTACTCTGATAGTTTACTAACCCTTTTAGATAAGTGACAAGCAATAATAATAAAATTTTATTACCCGTTATTCCTAATGTCTAACCTAAATTGCAAAAGCAATGTAGCAACAACAGAAATGTCTATTATAGCAAGGCTTATGCCAGCACCTCTACACAAATCTTCATAATTGACACAAAGTCAACAAGTTGGATTAACGTAAAAAGTACAGTTGAAATCACAATTCAAAAAAGACACAGCAAAACCTTTACATCCACATGGAAGAACATGGGGAAAAAAAATTAAGGGTAAAGAACACAGCCCACGGACAGGTTCAAACTAGAGATCGGGCGGCTCACCTGGCGAAGCTTTTCAAATGACTGCACATTGTTTTCCCTCCTTTGCATCTGAAGGAAAAATCAACAAACACTACTAAGAAATTACACAAAATGCCATTTGTTAAATATTAAAGTATCAGAGCCTTGCCGGAGAGCTCAAAATTGATATAACCCGGTGAGATGTTTCAAATGTCTCAAGAGAAGATGACTTACCCGCCGAGTGTGCAATCTATTTGGTCTTTCCCTAGGCCTAAACACATTGTAAGGATTGGTGTCATTTACTGGAGGTGGTGGCTGTAGTGCAAAAGGAAGCAAAGAGCAGTCAATAAATAAAGAATCAAGCACATGGAAAACTAAAACTATAAAAACAACCACCAAAACTAAGAGCTCTGAGCAAAGCTTTTAGATGAAGTTATATCCAATCATTTCAAGGCTGAGCCTCCTCGAAAACTCCAATTTAGAGTTTTTGAAAGAAAAAATAAATTGCAAATAAATTGTACATGTATTATGAACAATATGTCCAATACTACAAATTCAGACAGAAAGAAGAAAACAACGGCAGGTCTAGATCCCTCTCCATAAAAAATTGTTCTACTGCCTGTAACCAAATATGCTAGCAACAGAGACCCAGATAATCATCTATGAACAAAGTTTGCTCACAAATGAGGCTCATTCATCAAAACAATCAAAGCTACCATCCAACAAGGAAAAAATGACCACTACACGTGCAGTCAGCGAGAAGTGATTTAAGTTGCATTATGCAACAGCCACAAAAGAATCCAGGATGCAGTTCAAAGACACATCACTGTTGCAACCAAAAGTTTCTAGGTAATGACCCAAACTCTCCCAGGTCCAAACTAGGAAATACAAATCAGGAAGAAGAATGAAAAAGATGCATTTTGTCTGAAGAAAAACTTCCTTAACTTTTTAAGTATTAGCACAAACCTGTAAACGCCGTAGAATAGGCTTTTGCCATCGTTCTCGCTGCAAGAAACAGAAACAGCAGGAAAATGACAAATCAGATAGCAGTAAAACAAATAGAGGCGTGGGAGAAACGCGAATTAATTGTGAAATCATCAGAATTTTTACTGACTCTAGCACTTACTCTGGACATCATCATCTAACATGCCCGATTACATTAGATCCTACCAAAATATCGGTCAAGGGTTTTTAGTGAAATCCTCAATTTTTACCGACTCTTGAAATTTACCCTAGACGTGATCAAGAAGGTACATCTTACCGGATGAATTTCATAAAATTCTACCCACTTCCAATCAAAAAAAAAAAAAAAAACCCCTAAACATTTATGCTTTTGTTAGATTTTCCTTGTGCCACTAATTCATCCATTGAGAAGTTTGAATCAAGAACTTTCTCAAACCATAACCAGAATGCATACACATATGAAAGGAGACTGAACAGGGTGGCACATACTTTTTCTTTCCAGTAATTGTAAATAGACTGGAAAACTCCGTATTTAATTGAAAGAGATTGCAGTGCCTGCAGAGCCAATGGACATAAGCAGTTAGAGCTGAGAGAAAGGTCATCAATAAAATTACAGGGGAAAAAAAAGATTCAAAAACGAAGTGACCTCATGTATCTGAACCAAATAAAAGGAGGGGAGGGGGTGGAGGAGAGACAAATGAGCAGTCATAATTAATCTTTAGCATTATGCCGCCCTCATATAGAACACCAGGATCACAAATTCTCTTGAGCTATTTAATATGGACATGTGGTGTCTCATTCAATTGGCAGAATATTTGACAGCAAGTGCTCATCCTCAGGCAAAAGTAACTTTAAAATTGAGAACAGTTCCGAATTTTCAAAGTTAAACAATAAAAAGAGAAAATTGACATAAACATCAAAAAATCCAACACACATTGTTACTTAAAAAAGAATGCTAGAGTTTTCCCCGACTACAGTAGTGGACCAACACTTCTTCAGTACTGAGATTTACATTGTCACATTAATTAGTAATGTGTTCAGAAGGACAACGGACAAATTGAAGGAAGAAGTAAGAAAAAATTTGAGTTATCACCTCAACAGCAGCATCGAAAGTCAGAAGCACGGGAACTGGCGGGCCCAGAGTAGGTGTAATAACTCCTGCTCTTTCCCGAGCCTTATGGTCTGAAACCTCCAATTTAAAAAGAATGATCTCCAGCCTGCAGGAGAAAGAGAGCAAAATGAGTATGAACAAAAGGTAGAAGCAGCAATTTAATCAACAGTTGCCAACTGAGAAAGAAACTATTTAACAAAGTACACTCCTATACACCAGAAAAATTCTTTAGAAATGGAGCATAGAGTAGCTCTTTTGGGTATTGAGTAGCTCTTTAGAAATGGAGCATAGAGTAGCTCTTTAGAAATTCTTTTGACTATTTGCATACAAAATAGAAACAAATATTACAAACATAAGTGAAAAGCCAATTCAGTAGCACATAAAATATAAACGGCTCCTCAATAATAAACTACCAATCTCCATCTACACAAATGTCTTTGAGATGATATATCTATTCGTTTTCAGAAAAGAATTTCAATCAAGGAGAATTGTGAATATCCACAATCAAAGGCACAAAACAATCATGTCTGCCCGTCCAGCGTTGTTCACATATAAGAACAATTCAGAGAGCAGAATTCTATTTTACAAACATAGTACACAACAAGTGCATAAGCAAAAATCTTGAAGTAAAAGCAATAAGGCAAAGTAAAGCCTGGGAAAGGAAAACTGGAAAAAGCTGAAGCATGGATGACAGCATAATTGCTTAAAATTGCTATCAAACAGGCAAAAGAAGTTTATCCTCAAAAAAGATTTCTCATTTCAATCACATAAAAACGTAGACATGAAAGCATCTAAACAATATAATTACTTCTCAGGTGTCAGGGTTTTCCGTTCTCTGTTAAACTCTAGCAACCAATCCTCATCCTCGTTATCAAGATCATACTCAACGAAATCCCCAATCTCCGCTCGAGCTAAAATTTAATGCAAAGTGTCAGCAGAGCATTTCAACAGTATGCCAAATCCAGACCCATAAATAAATCAATTCACAAACCTCCCCTGGCACGTAGGTATGATGTCGGTTGAGCAAAAGTGCGGGAATAGTCTCTTTCGTATGTGTCCACAACCACATACTGAGGCGTAGGTATTTCAGAAGCGAGTTTCTTGGTAGGAACGTGTGGTACCTGAAAGGAAGAATTTTACACAAACTCAAATACAACTTAAAGGTAGAATTCTCATCAAGAATACAAATTCCAAGTATGATCAAGCCATTTATAGCTAAGAGAAAAGGTCTGCATTCGTCTAATCAATGCCCTAGAACATTATCATAGCAACAAACAGAAACAATCAAACCATATCAAAATCTACACAGATAACCTTCAATGTCAAAGTAAGAAAACCTTTTCCAAAGAAAGCAAGATTTTGAAGGCCATGCATGCTGAGGGCAAGAACATATGTGTTTGGAAAACGATCAATTCTAAGTGGCCTACCAAGCGGCCTAACCTCTAGACATGTACTAATGATCGCAAACCACACAACATCAATCTGGCCAGAGATGTAAAGACAACAGAGAACATCTGTCAAACATCCTTTTCCTTTCCTCTTGAAATTCAGAGATGATGGACACTTGTATAAACATATCGTAGTTGATTACTTCATTATGATCAAACACAATTATTCCATAAATTTCTGAATGAACACGTTCCCATAATATTAATGCATCTACACAAATTCTCAGATAACAAGAAGCATAATAATAACAAAGGCTTCTTGGCTCTTATACCAACATACCAAACAAGCAATTGAAAAGATATAGCTTGTCAAAATGCAATGAGAGCCAAGTCTTTTCTCAATAAAACCTTGAAGCTATTCCTAATCATCAAATTTTGCTTTTCCTGCTTTCTTTTCCCAATACCCATAGCCTTCATTAATTATTCTGTGATCATCTTCTTCAACTTTTGAGCAAAGTTCATATCCGTTGATGGATCCATATCCAACATCATAGACATGAATTTGAACATACCCACATTCATCTGAGATGAGATTCCAAGAATACTTGCTCTCTATTGTTTCTTTAACTTGTTCAACATTTTTCATCAACACAACTGATCATGATATAATCATAACCATAGACTCCTAGTACATCCATGACCAACTCAAATAAAGACCATTTGGACATACCAAAGTACCTCATGAAATACTAAATTTGTTTCAAGCTATAAAACTGTCATCAAGCAGTAATGTTTCATCAGTTTGAAGGGGGGAAGAAATGCCCACATTCACAGTTGAGAAAACTGTATATCAGTTAATCCATTGCAATTTACTCTGAAAGATTTTATCACCAAGTTAGGCAAACTGATTTAGGGTGCTTAACTCTGAGTATTATGGACGTCACTGAAATGTGGATTACCAGGAAAAACCATAGCTTCGTGATGGAGGTGAAAGTCAAGGGAACACCCCCTTTGTTCTTTAGATTTGAACTTTTTGAAGCATATACACATTAGTGATAGAAATAACATAAGAAATTATCTGCTTCAAATTTGTGCCTTATTTCCATAATAACAAGCACCCTCATTTTCCTTTTCTAGCCACATAATTGTCAGATGGACGTAACTTAAAAGGACATAATTTATTTCAAAAAAGATGTATAACGGAATTTATAGCAAGTCAAGTAACTGATGCCCAATCACATCAGCAAGGCCAAGGCCAAAGGTTAGCTCATATGCATTTTGCTAACACTAACTACAGAAAAGAAAAACAGGAATCTTTCATACAATGATGTAGGTAATCTGACACAAGAAAGCATTTGGATAAAACTTTTGACATAAATAAAAACTAAAGCATTTGGTTTAAGATCGAAATCAAATAGCTCACAATCATATCATCAGTTACAAACCACTATAATATTATATTCAAAGGCAACCCAGGAATTGACGCTAAAAAATAATCTACAAGACTCAGATCACTTAAATTACCAAATTAACAACAATAGCTGATTTCAACCATGGGATTCGTGACAAAAGAGCTCAGAGGTGTTCACTTTCTACAAAAAGCCAAGGAGAGTACTATTCGTTATTCACCAAGAATGGTAAAAATGCCGTAGGTACTCTGCTACCAGCAAGCATTTATGACATCTTTTGATATAACTGAGTTACCAGGAAATCAATTGATCTCAAGCAGCATCACATAGCTAACATTTCAGTGATCTTAGATACTGAACTGCAATAATATTATTTGAAGGAAACTTAAAAAAGGAAATGCAATGCTATTGGTCTCAGCAACAGATTAATTAAATCAGTAGGATCACGACAAATGCGCTAATTAGATACCCGAGTCACGACAATTGCAGTATTTAATACAAAAAAACAATAGTTAGAATAAATCCACTTGTAAAGCATTTAATAGGATATGAAAAGGAAAAAAGAAAAAATATATGAATCTATTATTCCACTCTCTTTTCTCAACAAACATAAACAGCACAAATCACAAAGGGTATCACTTAAAACATGAAAACAATTGAACTAAGTAATTCATAAAATCAACGAAAGAGATTCTCAGGATCCAGGAAATCAAAACTAAAGGCCACATCACTTCAATCAGCACTTAAACCAAAACTTCAAATACGAAATTGCCAATAATATTTTTACCACATCTGAGACACTTGACAGGTGAAAGTTATCAGCGACGTACTCTTCTTGCATCTTGGGTAGAAGGATTGAAAATATTGTGGTTTTTTGTACACCAACAGCAATATTAAGGTTATCAATTTTTTATCTTTTCGTTTTATGTTTTTTAGTGAAATTATCATTATTAATTTTTCTAACAGGAGGTTGACTAGATAAACCAGAAAATCATTTATTTCTAGGAGCCTTTTTCACAATCCAATTGTGCCTAATTCACTAGCGAAGCCGTTTATTTTCTTGTTATTGATTAGGTGCCAATTACAACATGGAGACAAAACTATAAATATCAGTTAGCCGCGCGTTGACTACTTTCCTAAGTAAGCAAGAGAAATGGTACCTCGGCCTCAGCCTCTGAAGCAACACGGAGTATCTGAGCATTACGAGTACTCGTGGGTGTCTCATCATCCTCAAAGTCCTTTACAGATTTCACAACAGGGAGTTTCTTGTGAAAGTCAAGCGGCCGCGGCCTAATAGACAATCTACTCATATCAAAGCAGCAACTTCGTTCATCGCCAATTCAAAACAAACTCAATTTCAGTCACTCCCGAACAACCATTGCCAGCAGCATTAGTCTCTCACCACACAAAAAATACCCAGCATTGGATCAAATATTCACCTGGAGCTAAAGAAATAAAAAAGAACACAGTCAATCGTAAGCACATTGGCAAAACTAGATAGCAAGAAAACTTATAATACACCAAATGCAAAATTAAACAAGTAGGTGCAGCAATGAGCTAACTAGAAACAATATGTATCCATTCTAAACAAAAAATCGCTCTTTCAAAATACCCACTTCTGCTTCAATTTCAAAATTCGCGCCTTTCTCGTCCCCAAACCCTAATATATGCTAAAGGTGGAACATGCAGCTACATCCGAGTAAGAATAAGCATACAATTTTACATGATTCGAAGCCCTAGCAACGGACAACGTGGGCATAATATAAACACAAAGTTACAGAAGGAGCGAAGTAGAAAATCACAGATCAATTGAAGTTAGAACTGCAATTACCAGCTCGAAGATACAGCGGGGAGAAGGCAAGTGCGTTTGAGGATGAAAAATTTATGAATTCACTTGGGTTCAATTGAGAAATTAGGGATTTCGATTTGGGAATAGCTGGATAGGGCAAAGTAGAAGACGAAGGCGAAGAAGGGCTATGGTGAACAATAAGCTCCAAACCCGGTAACCCGAATCCGTAAAGCAGGTGAATCTGGGCGCGAGTTTTGATTGTATGATTTTTTTTTAATGTGGACTGGCCGTTCAATGAGATGGAGAAGACGGGGGCCTTTTCTGAAGGCCCGAAATTTAATCTCAGATCTGCAAGATTGGCCTAAATTACTTTCTCAAAATATTATGGGCTAAAGCTATGGACTTTTTCCAAGAAATAAACATGAGAGACAATTTTGAAAAGAAAATTTTATGAACGACAGAACCAAAGTAGTCGAGGGTTCGAACCTTGGCATAGACATGGAGCAATCTTAAATATTTTAGCCAACTGTCTTATCCATTGAAGTGCCTACAATTTAACGAAGGGGATTAACCACTGTTGTCACGGAGAAGATGATAATTCAAATGTTCTCTTACTTTTTTCCGTTCATTCACAATGAATATAAAGTGAATTCTTGCACTTTGGAAAAAATTGTGTATACAATGTTGAGATTGTTATTAAACTAATATAGCACTCTAAGCATTACTTTTTTTATTTATTTTTTATTTTTTTGTTATAAAGAAGAAAGCATGAAGCTTAGTTTCGACTCATTACATTTTGGGGATAAGTAACTTTTATTAGATCATGTTTCAACCAAGGTTGCACCCCTGAAGATGGAGTGTCAAGTTTTGCAGTCCATCCGGTCCTTGTGTAGCTAATGATGTCAAATAGTCAGCCACGAAATTAACTTCCCAAAACACTTGTGAGTTCCACCTCCCAATCCGTCTCAGTAAGTCTCGGATCCCATTGACTAGCCCAGCATTAAATCCGACAATTTCTTTCATGTCTTGAACCATGGCTAAAACACAATACTTTATTATTTGACATCTGGTCTAGCCATTAATCGATCACGACAAAATACTTTATTTCTTTGTAATCTATTAATCTCACAAATTCGTATGCCAATGGAATTTTTCTTTATGCATGCATTTGGCTAACCGACATAGATGGAATCTGAATGGGGATACCAAACATACTAAGTGAATTGCACCGGAAAGCTTGGAAAACTTCGATCCCTCTTTTACAATCTTCCTTACCAGTACCAGTCCCTTATCAAATGTACCATATTGGCTTTTTTTTTCAGAAATAAAGTAGTTCTGCATTGTAACCCCATTACACCAACCATTAACATTACAAAACATACAAGTCTAACAAGCTAAATCTCTTCATATTTTATAGCATTTTCAGCTTGCTTTGTGTACCATAGTAGCACTTTCTAGATCATTCCCAAAGCAGTAGTTAAGATCGAAGAATGAGAATATATGTCACTAATGTAGAAGTACCCCTAGTTTCAAATGTACTCGAACTGAAAATTGAACTAAATAACGCAAGACATCAATGTAGAAAGGAGATGTACTTGGCAGATAACTGATCTTAATCTCAAAGGCGGTCGCAACTCAAGCGAAATGGAATAAATGTGCAATAGAAAATTGAAGGTGAAAGCTCGTCTTTATTGATTCCAAGCTCAAAGGATACTACAACGAACAGCAAAGTGCAGTCAGTAGACAGCCAATGACCCAAATGCAATGTACGAACAGCAGCCCTTCATAAATCTAAAACGTTATCAGTCGAACAAATATAAACTGCCTATCAAACTTCTAATCCAGCCAAAAACCAACAACATTTCCTCAAGAAAAAGAGATGCCCTTGTACAGAACTAAACATCAAAATCTCCGATGATTATACGATGAACAAATTCTTTTTACAAACACAACCCTACATTCACTGATTGCTGAGTGAAGGAAACTGATGACTGGTACCTGACCCCGTGCATCTCAGTAGAAGGACAAAGTATGCGTAGCCGGAGAACTATCATTATGCTCAAAAATTACAGGACGTCCACCTCTCCGCGAACGAGGAAACCAAGGAAAAGGTGGTTGAGGATCAGGGATCCTTCGAGGAAACCAAGGAAGAGGAGGTTGAGGATTGCGGAACCTATGCAGACAGACTGATCTGTTGTAAGCCAATCTCCTCCTTTTCCTTCCTTCCCACAACCTTGCAAACTTCTCCTTCCAATGGCCTCTTTCATCCGACTTAATTTCATCACCAAATTGTTCTACACACTTCTGCTTCCAAAGGTCATCACTTGATGCCAAGTATCGCAATTCCTTCGACACACAGCTGATTTTCGCCATGTCAACGCCAGGCAATAGCCCCAGGATCTTCACTTGAAGATCAGTATGCAGCCGCATAAAGCAAGGAGGGAGCCCAAAGCCAAATTTCTCATATAACTCAATCAACAAAGGCAATGCAAGATTATCTTTCACTGTCCTCCAAAACTGGAATACCTCTTTCTCAGGGGAAGTCCCCAGAATCCCACCTTCAGCTGTTAAAATATCATCCTTCAAATCGCAATTAGCCCATACAACATTGAAGATAGATACCAACTTATCTTCATTAAGACATACTGAGTGTTTAACAGAACCAGGACCTAGTAAGCATCCATAGACATTCATGAACTTTCCTACACTGGAAAACTTCAATTCAAAAGCATAATTCTGGCACTCCAAATCACTTGAAATTTTCTCATTAATCTCAGGGAGAGTGTAACCCATATAGACGTACCCTGGCCGAACATTGCGAAATTGAAATCCTTCAACTACAGTTTTTGAATCCATGTCAAACCCAATGAAACCAGATTCCAACAAAACAGCATGTACAGCAGTTACCAAAAGTTTATGTTTGCCACCGCCGCTATCTTCATCATGGCCCAACTCCTCAGTAAACACCTTCCTCAAAAACCCAGGCACAGAAAACGATTTCCTCCCAATCTCCACATCAGACCCATCACCATCCTCCCCCTCAATCTCCATATTCTCAGCTAATTCTTCTCCGCTCTTTGCATCATCTATGTTCATGCTCTGCAACTGATCATCGGCTTGCAATGGTAAATTAGGCTCAGCATTATCTGGTTTCTGCGGCTCTATTAAAACATGTTCCTTCTTATTGGCCGATCTATCCGACTCCATTGGTCGATTTTCCTGGCCTAAATTGAGCCTAACTTCGGAATTAAGGGAAACAATCGAACTGCTTACCTGGGAATTGGGAATTAGGGCTTCGGAGGAAATGACGGTGTAGTAGATTAAATCCCCGGAGGCTATGCCGAGGGACTGAAGGATGTCCTGGGCAGGTGAAGAACTCTGAATCTCATCTACTTTGTTCAGAGACAACCGAATCGAATCAGGTGGTATTGGCCCAGAACTGGATGATCCGGACAGCGTCTGGGAGAGACGCTCCTTCAGTTGTTGGAGAGAACATTGATCAGGGACTTCAATTCTTAGGGTTTCTCTAGTTTCAGTCGATCGAATTCTGAGCTTCATCGTCACAAACTTCTGAATTCAGAAACACCTCCGACGAGAAATTCAGGCGAGATAATTCTAGAGGAAAAATGAATATCAATTTATATAAATTCAGAGTGAAAAATACTAATTTAATCCTTTAACTTATTCTTTTTCCTATATTTAGTCCTTAAAGCTTTCAATATATCAAAATTATCCCCATTTGTTTTTAATTCTTTTCCATTTGATTTTTTCCCCATCTCTCTTTGCTCTAATCGGCCCTTTGCCAAATAATACTTCACTGAAACGAGTGTTTTTTCATAAAGCTTTTTTCCCTTGCCTGAGTTTCATAATTCTCATGAAATATGATAGTGAAATAGTTGTTGAATAACACCTACGAATTTAGATTGGGCTGATTGAAGGCTCCTTGTCGGGGGGCAGAAGATTGGAGTTCCGATCCTCTTATTTTCACTTAGAAATTGCCTTTATCAGCCCAGAAATTCTCCTCCCCAGATCCATACTCTTTGAACAAGCTGGACATTGTTTGAAATTCTATCCGTTTTAGTTAGGGCAAAATGCTGCGGCTGAAGGCGTTTCGTCCCACCAATGACAAGATCGTCAAGATCCAAATGCACCCGACCCATCCCTGGCTGGTCACCGCCGATGCATCCGATCATGTGTCCGTGTGGAACTGGGAACACCGCCAGGTTGGCCTTTTGAATTTGAAAACCTCTTTTTTGTTTGGGTTTAGTTGAATTTCATGCGTTTAGCTCGGTTCACTTTGAATTTTACTTTTCCTCGTTGGATGGTTACGTTTATTCAGTTGAGATTAACTTCTTACATCTTTCTGGATTAGGTGATCTATGAGCTGAAAGGTGGTGGTGTGGACGAGAGGCGTTTGGTTGGTGCTAAACTGGAGAAGCTCGCCGAGGGAGAATCGGGTACTTTTTAAATTAATTTGTAGATTTTGATATATATATATATATATATATATGCCGCAAATTTCTCTTATTTTACCCGTTTGGGCATCCAGAACAAGTTTCAGTTGCTAAGGTTGTTAATTTCATTTTGCCGAAAGACTTTAGGTATTTGTCCGTATGGATGGGTTGCGGCTCTATGTGTTTTCTTCCCTTTTTGCTAGTAAATTTCAGCTTGAAGTGATTTGAGGATACCAAGATTCTCCTGAGGGTTACTTAACTTCAAGTGTTTTGACGATATCATGATTCTCCTTAGGTTTATTTTGCTTGAAGTGTTTTGAGCTTACCATGACTGTCCTAAGGGTTATTTAGTGCTGCAGTATTATCATTTAGTCCAAAGCCATTGGCATCATCCTTTTTAGGGCCATTCGGATTTGATGTCGCTTTCCGGGAAAAAATACTGTCCAAATTCAAGGCCGACCTAGTTGTTTAGTTGCTTTGCCAAATGCTCAGAAGTGGAAACCATATGAATGTTTTTTCGGATTTAAAATTTTTATTACCCTGTATATTGGAATAAGAGCCGATTCTTGTTGTTGTACCCATCAAGTGCTTTGCATGTTTCCAGATGTTTTCTCCTGCGCACTGACATTGCAATTTTTCATCCTGTTTACTTTTGTGTCAAGTATTCATTCTCCATCAGAACTATTGTTTTCCTTTTGTAATGATTGCACTAAATTCGTTTGTTTGGCTCTTCTTAAACACATAAAACCCGAAGAATGTTTACAGCCTCCTCTATGTTTGAGCCTTCCATTTATATTTTGATAACATCACTTATATTTTTCTTTGTGTATTTGTTTGTATCTCAGAGCCCAAAGGAAAACCTACTGAAGCAATCAGAGGCGGCAGGTAATTAATCAATCCACGACTAGGCAAATATGGATTTTCTATTTTATTTGTCAAGATTGAGTGCTTTCAATACATGGTTGCAGTGTTAAGCAAGTGAGCTTTTATGATGATGATGTACGATATTGGCAACTTTGGCGCAACCGCTCTGCTGCTGCTGAGGCTCCCTCTGCTGTGAATAATGTGACTTCAGCCTTTAATTCTCCCGCTCCTTCAACTAAAGGACGTCACTTTCTTGTAATTTGTTGTGAGAACAAAGCCATTTTTCTCGATTTGGTGACTATGCGTGGTCGTGATGTACCAAAGCAAGATCTTGACAACAAGTCACTTCTCTGGTAATGTCTTGACTTTAGCTAATGCTGATGATTCTGGGGATGGAAATCCTTTTTCACCGTTTTACTGTAGTTAGGAGGTAGTAAAATTTCCCATGTTATAGGTTTTGTTACCCAAAAAAGTGATACAGTAGACCAAAAGCTGAAATTTACTTCAAAATATACTATGCCTGTATCTTCTGTTTCCTTCAAATATTGCATATATTCATTTCTGTTAATTTTATATACAGATTTTTCTTACCTAATGGAATGATTTCTTGGTTCTCTTTGGTAGCTTCTTACGATCATGAAAGAGCTTATGCAATTGATGTTTAAAGTGAACTTCAAATGGACCTTTGCTAATGCAAGTTTACTTAAGCTTGTGTGTGTGGTTTTAGTGATAGTAAAGATGAGATATGTGGTATTTCAATGACCGTTATTATGTAAACCTACATTTCTTTACATCATAGTTCTTTAATTGCTCCGTTGGACTTTTATTTCCCCCAGCAGTATCTTTTTTTGTCATTTGTATTCATATTCTGGTAAATCTCCATTCCCTAATATCATAAAATGCTCTTTATGATGGTCATCTTTTGGTGTGATGTCCTTGTAGGAAGATGTGGCACACATAGGTTCTGCTTGTTCCTTTTCTGATGTATTGATTTTTTTTTATCTTTTTTTTTATTTTTTTTTTGCCAGTATGGAGTTTCTAGCAAAATCTGCGGCTAATGAGGGGCCTCTGGTGGCTTTTGGTGGATCAGATGGTGTAATTAGAGTTCTTTCAATGATAACATGGAAGGTCTACTTTTTAAGCTCATTGCTCTGAATTGTTTGTTTTTTCCCTTCTCCAGTTTGATGGTTGTCCATGCAAAAAATCCTCAAGTTTCATTGGCTAATAGGAAAACGAACAAATTATCATGCTGTTTGTTTTCTGTCTGCAGCTTGCTCGTAGATATACTGGAGGTCATAAGGGACCAATTTCTTGTTTGATGACTTTCATGGCTTCATCCGGCGAGGTAGTTCCATTAGATGAATCTACCTTGTAACTTATTATAAATAGATGATATAGGTTTTCCCTTATTCCATGGTGATTCTAGTTTTTTGTGAGATAAGAATAAGAAATGGGGGTAGCTTTAGTCAATATTTTCCTGGCATTTGAGGTTGATGTTCTGTATGTGCGAGCTGAAAGCTGATTTTCCTTTGTACTTATTGCTGAAAGTTTCCTTCCCGTGTACTTGGATGCAGGCACTATTGGTCTCTGGTGGCAATGATGGTTTACTTGTTCTCTGGAGTGCTGACCATGGACATGATTCACGAGAACTTGTACCAAAGTTGAGCTTAAAAGTATGCCTTCTGTCGAAGTACCAGATATTTCTCATGATGCTTATGTGGAATATAATGGTTATTGTGGAGACTATGTTTGATTAGTTTAACATTGACAATTCTTAGGCCCATGAAGGTGGGGTTATTGCAATAGAGCTTTCTCGAGTGATCGGTAGTGCACCTCAGCTTATCACAATTGGTGCAGATAAAACTTTAGCTATCTGGGACACAATGTCTTTTAAGGTGTTCTACTGCAGTTCCTATTTCCCGTTAACTATTTTCTATTACGTGTATGTTTTCGGGTATGTTGTCTTCTTTTAAACCAGTAGTAAAATTTGTCCCAGGAGTTGCGACGAATAAAACCCGTCTCAAAATTGGCCTGTCATAGTGTTGCATCTTGGTGCCACCCTCGAGCTCCCAACCTTGATATATTGACCTGTGTTAAGGATTCACATATATGGTATGCGTGTATTCTGTCTGCTATATGAACTGTTATTTATTTACTATCTATTTATGTTTTAGTTATACATGCTTAAAACTTTTTTAAACCTGATTAGGAGAGGCAATTATTCACTTCCTATGGGAGGATAACAAAATATTTTGCATAGCAGAATTCTGATGCTCCTTTCGACCGTTTCTGCAGGGCTATCGAGCACCCAACTTACTCAGCTCTAACAAGGCCATTATGTGAACTTTCCTCACTAGTACCTCCACAATTACTTGCATCTCATAAAAAGTTAAGGGTATGTTTGTAGTATTCTATTGAACCGCATGCTTAATAGCAAATCCATCCGTTGTTCAATTTAAGCTGAAAAATAGATGAGTAGACTTAACAGAATTCATTACCAAATTATGTTTGTTGATAATTTTCATATTGACAGCTAATGAAGTACTTTCTCATGCCATTGCTCATGTAGGTCTATTCTATGGTTGCACATCCACTGCAACCTCATCTTGTTGCCACTGGAACCAACTTGGGTATAATAGTCTGTGAATTTGACCCAAGGTCTCTTCCACCTGTAGCTCCCTTGCCAACGCCTCCAGAAAGCCGAGAACATGCTGCTGTATATGTGATTGAGCGGGAATTGAAACTACTACAATTTCAGTTATCTAATACTGCGAACCCATCTCTTGGGAGCAATGGTTCCTTAACCGACGCGGGAAGGATCAGGGGTGATGCACCTGAACAACTGCATGTTAAGCAATTGAAGAAACATATTAGTACTCCTGTTCCACATGATTCGTACTCAGTTCTCTCAGTGAGCAGTTCGGGGAAGTATGTCTGCTACAGTCTTTCTTTGTTGTTGAACTTCATTGAGAGACTTAATTACGTGTGTGAATAGATCCTATCAAATCTTTGAGCCTTCAAATTATGTTCATTTGTTTTTTTCCTTCTCGTGGGTTTGTTGTGGTGAATGCTCCTGCATTTAATCGCTCATCACAGTACCATAGCTTGTTGCATCTGTTTCAAAATTGTACTCTTTCATTCTGTTTATTCAGCTTCCTTTTGATGTTATCAATTCCAGGTACGTGGGGATTGTGTGGCCTGATATTCCTTACTTCTCCATCTACAAGGTCAGTGACTGGTCCATCGTTGATTCAGGCAGTGCAAGGCTTTTAGCTTGGGACACTTGCCGAGATCGATTTGCTTTGCTGGAGTCTGCTGTGGCTCCTAGAATGCCAGTCATTCCGAAAGGTTCTTCGAGAAAAGCAAAGGAAGCAGCTGTTGCCGCAGCACAAGCAGCAGCAGCCGCGGCTTCAGCCGCATCATCTGCCAGTGTTCAAGTTCGCATACTTTTGGATGATGGGACATCAAATATATTAATGAGGTCTGTTGGTAGTCGCAGTGAACCAGTAATCGGTTTGCACGGGGGTGCACTTCTCGGTGTTGCCTACCGTACATCTCGTAGGATTAGTCCAGGTGCTGCCACCGCAATTTCTACAATTCAGTCCATGCCCCTTTCAGGCTTTGCTAGCAGTGGGGTTTCTTCTTTCAGCTCTGTAGATGATGGTTTTTCTTCACGAAGATCTTCGGCTGAAGCTGCTCCTATGAACTTCCAATTATACAGCTGGGAATCTTTCCAGCCAGTGGGTGATCTTCTCCCTCATCCTGAATGGACTGCATGGGATCAGACTGTTGAGTATTGTGCTTTTGCCTATCACCAACACATAGTGATATCCTCTCTGCGACCTCAGTACCGATACTTGGGGGATGTGGCAATACCTCATGCTACTGGGGCTGTTTGGCAGCGCAGGCAGTTATTTGTTGTCACCCCAACTACCATAGAGTGTGTTTTTGTTGATGCTGGTATTGCACCAATTGACATAGAAACTAAGAAACGAAAAGAAGAGATGCGACTTAAAGAGGCACAGGCTAGAGCTGTCGCTGAGCATGGAGAATTGGCATTAATTACCGTTGATACACAGAAGAGTACTGTACAAGAGAGGGTAAAACTGAGACCTCCAATGCTCCAAGTTGTGCGACTGGCTTCTTTTCAGCATGCTCCATCCGTGCCGCCATTTTTATCTTTGCCAAAACAATCGAAAGTTGAGAATGATGACTCATCATTTATGAAGGAGCTGGATGGGAAAGTCAATGAAGTCGCTGTTGGTGGTGGTGGAGTTGCTGTAGCTGTTACACGTTTTCCAGCTGAGCAAAAGCGACCCATCGGTCCTCTTGTAGTTGTTGGTGTCCGTGATGGAGTTCTTTGGCTGATTGATAGATACATGTGTGCCCATGCAATATCTCTTGGCCATCCTGGTATTCGTTGCCGTTGTCTTGCGGCCTATGGAGATGCAGTTAGTGCAGTCAAATGGGCTACCAGGCTGGGCAGAGAACATCATGATGATTTAGCTCAATTTATGCTTGGGATGGGTTATGCTACTGAAGCACTTCATTTGCCGGGAATATCTAAGAGGTTGGAATTCGATCTTGCCATGCAGAGCAATGATTTAAAAAGAGCTCTTCAGTGTCTACTGACGATGAGCAATAGCAGGGATTTAGGGCAAGAAACTCTTGGTCTGGACTTGAATGACCTCATGAATTTAACTGCAAAGAAAGAAAACGTTGTAGATGCTGTACAAGGAATCGTTAAATTTGCAAGAGAATTTTTGGACTTAATTGATGCTGCTGATGCAACAGCACAGGGGGACATTGCCCGTGAAGCTCTTAAGAGGTTAGCTGCTGCTGGGTCCTTGAAGGGTGCTTTGCATGGTCATGAGTTGAGAGGACTGGCTTTACGGCTTGCAAATCATGGGGAGTTGACAAGGCTAAGTGTATGTTGTTTTTGTTTTTCTGTCCTTGTCATGCTTCTACTGTGATATCCTAACTGTGTTTTTTCCTTTCCAGTTTTCTTATTTAGCCAACCCCACCTAGTGGGAAAAAGGCTGCTTCTTGTTGTTGTTGTTTCAGTTTTCTTACATCTTCCAGAAATTTAGTATAGTTAGGATTCAGTAATTTCATATAAACTCTTAGTATAAAGTGGTTGCTATTGAACTTGAACCATATAGCTCCTATTGTCGAGGTAAGAATGTCTGTTTCTAAGTGTTGGTGAAAAGATATCTCTAGCACCTGGTAAAAACGGTCCGTGTCATTTTTAGCTTGGTTTATGTTGTCATATTTCCGACCTAAACGGCGATGCAATGCATCTTGGGTCGTACTACTTAAACAGCCTCTCTATATTGATATATAGGGGTAAGGCTGTGTACATCTTGACCCCCCAGACCCCAACCGAGTTGGAAATATACCGGTTATGTTGTTGTTGTTGTATTTCCGACCTAAACCCACCTTGCTTTTCTCCAAGTCTTAGAAATGTGTTTCATCAATTGCAGTAAGTTAAGTAATTATCTGATGCATTAAGGAACGTCTCTAGATTTGCCTGGGAAGCTAATGATGCAGAATTTGAAGCTTTTACATTGAGAAGTACGTTCTGGCAATAGAAATCATAGAACCACATTCGGAGACATAACTTCCACAGATCCTTTGATTATTTTGATTGGATCGGATATCAGTATTCATTTGAACTATGAGGATGATACTTTGGCAGGCATGTTTAAAGATGGGGGCTTTATAACCTTTGTGATTTCTGTTGAGATTTTCATTGATGTAGATACTCGATGTCTTGAAATCTACGAATCTTAAGGTCTTTTTATCTATCTCCCTTTGAGAGTATGCAATCATCCTTGCAGAATTTGGTAAATGACCTAGTATCAGTGGGTGCTGGAAGGGAAGCTGCATTTGCTGGTGCCGTTTTGGGAGACAACACACTCATGGAGAAAGCATGGAAAGAAACTGGGATGCTTGCTGAAGCTGTGCTCCATGCTCATGTAAAAATTTCTTTTCTGTGGTAGCTATCTTTTTCTTCTTGGATTTAGTGCCCATTCTGACCTGCATAAATATTTACAGGCTCATGGACGACCTTCATTGAGGAGCTTGGTTCAGGAATGGAATAAGGTACTGCAAAAGGAGATGGAACACACTCCTTCTGTGAAACAAGATGCTGCTTCTGCATTTTTGGCTTCACTCGAGGAACCCAAATTCACAAGTCTGCAGGATGCAGCCAAGAAATCTCCAATTGAAATCCTGCCTCCAGGAATGGCATCCTTGTATGGTCCCAACCCTGGTCAGGTCAAACCGCCTCAAATAGCACAAGGTTCAAAGCAACAGGCTGGCAAACCATTGCTTCTAGAAGGACCCATTGGTGCTGCGAAAAATGCATCAGCTCAATCAGGATCAGGGGATCAAATCACATCTGAAGCTGGTGCTCTGCCCAAATCTGATTCAAGTGCCTCAATATCATCACAATCAGGTATCCCTCCCGAAGCAGGTGCTCTGCCCAAGTCTGATTCCAGTGCTTCAATTTCGTCACAATCGGGTAAACCCTCGACAGAAGCATCTAGTCTTCAACCTGCTGAGACAGGGGCAGCCCCATCTGAATCGAACGCTTCAGTTCCGGAGGAGTCAAGTACCCAGGTGCCTGCAGATTCATCAAATGATAAAGCTACAGATGACCAAAGCCCTGTACCACCATCAGCAGGAGGTGAAGATGCCAGTGCAAAACAGGATATTGAACCTTTAGCAGCTAAGGGTAGTCCATCGGTGGACGTTGCTCCCGTACAACAAAATAATCCGGGTACCACTGTTAATTCTGAACTTCTAATGATTGATTTCTCCTGATTTGACCAGTTTTCCCTTCCGAGATTACTCCTGTACAGCACATTCATACAGTCTGTTGTATAAACTTTTATGCTTTTACAGTCCATGTTTTACGTCGCAGTTGGTTATGAGGGCAGCTTGATCTGCGCTTTACCATTCTTTTTTGTGCAATTTTGTGCCCATATATTTTGTTTTGGTAACTCGCTAGTGTAGTTCTCTCGGCCTTTCTTGTGTAGAGAGCTTCTTGTAGAACACTGACAGCTTTGTTTGTAATTTCTTACTTCGATGTCACAAAGTTCAGATACTCTGGAATTCATATAGCCGAGAGCTAACATTGTTTTTGGTTGGACCAAATTGCAAAAAAAAATCTCACATTATTCATTTTCGGTAACTGTTTCGGATAGATTCCAGCATTCAATTTATTCAAAGTCGGGATTTTACAGCATTTATTATTAGGTTTAAGGATTATTTGTAGGTTTAATGAGGTATCTCGGCTCGAGGTTCTTTCATTAATAATTGTTTACCACTTTTACGTTCCATAGCTATGATGATAATCCCCTCCTTGCTTATTATTTATTCAATCACATTTCTGAATATAGGAGACTCTATTCCACTGAAATTAGTCCACATCATTTATTACTAGTGTTACATATATAGTGTAACACAAAAGTATCGTGATGCCGCACAAATCGATCTGAAGTGAATTGTTATCCAAAAACTTTTCCGAGCTATCAAAGCCAAAAATCGCTGCCAACTACAGTATTTGAAAATTACACCACCCAATAATACCATTAAATATTACACTACCCGGGGATTGGTTATTGTTGTGTTCTAGATAGGAAACCAAAATCTTTGGAATCACGGATATACAGTAAAACCTCTCTAAATTAATACACTTGAGCCTCTAGAAATTTATTAATTTATAGAGTTATTAATTTATGAATAAATTAATATTTTATTAATTTAAAGAGTTTTTTTCAAGCCTATTAGTAAGAAAATACAAAAAAAAAATGTTATTTTTATATAAGAAAAGTCCGTTGCAGTCCTAGCCACAACATTATAATCTTTTTAGTGGAAAAAATGTGCAAATTTCAAACATAAACAAATATATTGAAGTTAAAATTTATGTTAATCTTAAAATCTAATTTATTATTTTAAGTATTTATTAATTTATAAAATTGTGGGACTTATATTTACATATGAGATTCTTGAAAAATTATTATCTTATAAATTAATTGAGTTTTTTTATTTTTTGTATTAATCCCTAGTTAAGACCGAAGAAAAATATTATTTAATAGAGGTTATTAGGTGCTTCTTCATGGACGAAGTTGTTTGGATTGGACGACGTCGTCGTCGTGGACGTCTCAAATCCTCAGTAGTTGGAGTGATCTTCCTGAAGATCTTTGGGATGGAATACTGCGTAAATTGTTGGATCCTTCCGCTTACATTCAATTAGGAAGGGTTTGTAAATCGTTCCGTACAGTAGCCATGCGACAAAAACCTGAACGACAAGCAACAATGCATGCACAGGCACCACTCGTACTTCTAGTTAAGTCTCAATACCAGGAAAGTTTACCCATCGGATCTCAGCTGGTTGGCAAACTGTACAGCATCGAGGAAACTAAAGTATACAATCACGACGTTCGTTACCCGGGTCCGCTACGTCGCTCCTCTCGTGGTTGGTTAATCAGTAGTATGTACAATCGGCTTCGTCGGCATCGTCGTGATTCGTTGGAACTTCTTAATCCGTGTACTGAAAAGATCACCGAAATCCCTAAGGATACACGTGTTGGTTACTGGAAAGTAACTTTGTCTTGCGATCCTACAACAAATCCGAATGATTTCGTGGTCGGTGCACTAAGTAATTTTGACCACGGTGATCGACTACGTGATAAGTTACGTTTAGACTTTAAAAAAGTGAACAAAGTTTTTACCTGGTAATCTGTTTCGGGGCATTAGATTTCACAACGGATTGTTGTATGGCCTGAACGAGAATGGTCGGGTTGTTGCTTTTGATTGCGGAAGTAGTAATCATGATGATGATCAGTTAGTTCCCACAATCATTGTACCTGGAGATGATAGGACTCCTTTGTGGCTCCCTTGCCTGGTGGAAGCTTCTAATGGTGACTTATTGCTAGTAGAGTGTCATTATCGTGTATGGATCGGAAACTCGTCAAGAGGGAAACACAGAACCCGGCCGGCGTTGACAGTGTTGAGGAATTCAGTTGGGAACAAATTTCGGAGTTGGAAAACGGGGATTCCTTATTTCTCGTCTTACTATGGTTTCTGAAGATAGCTTAGAAGAATTCAATTTGCTTTGGTTTTTGAACTTGAAAGTGACAAACTAGATGACTATGACAATTTATTGGAGATTTTTAATTAATACACATACACATTACAAATTAATTTTAAGATTCTGAAATCATGGCTATCTTCAAGAATTTTTTAAAAAAAAAAATTACAGAAGGAAAGGAATGTTAAATTTTGATTATACTATAAGAGGAATGTTACACAAATATATCAGTAGAAAAAGAAAAAAAGAAAAAAAGAAAAAAACAAAAAAGTACTTGGTCAATGTGATTATTTCACAAAATAATAAATAGAGAAATTATTTTTCATACCTTGTTGAACAAGACTTTTCTTTTTGTAAAAAAAAAGAAGAAAAAATAAATAGAAGAAAATCGTGTTGAACAAGACAAGATTCTTTCCTATAAAAATTTAAACGTCATCTATGGCGCACGACCAGAGCAGTAATCCGAATAATTTATTTAAAAGAAAAAGAGAAAAAGAAAGGGAAAATAACCAAAACCTATGAAGTTTCGCCCAAAACCCAACAGAAGACCACTTTTTTTGTCGTCTCGCCTTCCGAAATCCTCCTCCCGTTTCTTCCCTCTATATTTCCCTCCAAATCTCTTCCAATGATCCATCAATTTCAAACCCTAACTTTTTGATTCCCCCAATTTCCCCACCAATCTTCTCTCTATACCTACCGAAACATGCCGTCTTATTCAGCTATCGAGCTAGAGAATTTGGTCCAACCGCGTGTTCGAGATTCCTACAAGAAGCCGTTGAATGTTTCGCCGCCGCGCCAAGCCAGGGATGCTGCTCCCGCCGTGCAGCCTCCGTCTTCCGGCAGACACGTCTACATATCTCCGTCGCTTTATGCTACTCCGGAGCCTGCGCCTATTCCGGACACGGTGACCGACCCTATGTCGCCTTCTCCGTATGTTGTTAACCATAAGCGCCGGGGCTGGGGAAGCGGAGTGTTTGGGAACCGGAAGGCTGATAGTGATGGACTCGAGGAGAAGGAGAAAGATAAGCCGGAGGGAGCTGGTTTGGTTGAGGGGGAGAAGGAGGCGGCGGTGGCTGTTGCGTCGAGGGATGTGGTGGAAGACAATTTTTCCGGTGGTGCTGCGGAGGAATTGTCTGTGCATAAAGGGGAGGCAGCAGCGGATAAGGAGGAGGAGTTTCTGGATTCGCGGTTTGATTCAATGAGTATAGGAAGTGAAAATGGCTCCAGTAGGCGGTTTGATAGCCGGAGTTTTGTGTCGACCCCTGGGGAGTTCTTTGATGCAATTGAAGGTACTTTTTTCAGCTTCATACTAATTCTGTGTTCGTAATTGTTTCTCTGTTTTAGTTGTATTCCATGTTCTTCGGATGCTTCATTATATTTATCTTGCTAACAGAAACTGATTTTAGTCAGGAGTTTGTATCAATTTTCTTGTCTGGAGAAAACATTCCTCCTTGGTGAAATTGTAATTGCTTGAAAATTTAGAGAGGACTCTTGGTTTTAAAGGAAGATGTAATTATGAGAAGTAGGAACTTGGGATGTACCAGCTGTCAATTCTCTGAATAGATGTCCGAATCTGATTGGTTTGCTTAATTACGTTCGATGGTTTGCTTAATTACGTTTGGTGGCAGCTATGCTTCAGCAGATTGCGGTCCTTTTTCTTTGAGAAGCATGTGTATAAGGCAAACTTTTTTATTATAAAGAATCTGAAACAATTTTGTAACTATGCATGGTTCTTCATATTGGTTTGGAAGAGGCTTGCCGGATACAGTAGTGTTTGATTCTTTCTTAAATTAAAACTCTACGCTTGCAAAGGGATATAAGTTTTTGTCGTTTGGGAAAGTGAGAAATACACTCGATTAAAGTCCTTTATTACTCCTACTAATATTACACTTTTATCAAGTACTATGGTCCTTTGTATAAGACTTTTATTTGTGTAAAGTCAGACAAGTACACTGAATTATAATTTTCTTGTCCGTTTCGTTGATTCCATTTATGGACTATGGAAAAGCGAAATGCCTTTTAGAAAAGAACAGGCATAGTAAACATTTTTGCAGATTATATTTAATAATGTTACCTGATACTTGTTTGCTCCGCGGCTTAGCTTGTTAATGCCATCCGTGCCTGTAATAAATGTTTTTCTTCTTTTATGTTTATGTGAGTGTATAGTAATTGGCTTCTATGACGTTTGATATAAAAGGAGTAAGAAAAAATTGGTGAATATCAATTCGCTTTGTGATCTTTGATGTTAATAAATTAGTTTGTTTTATTGCATCTACAGATTTTAACTCTGACTTTGGCATTTCTACTACATCTGTGAATGGTCAAAATTTGGAGTCTGAATTGCGATCTTTAAGGCTTAGTCTCCTTGAGGAGATTGAAAGGCGCAAAGAAGCAGAGGACGCGCTTAATGCAATGAGTCGTAAGTGGCAAGAGATTAGTGATCTGCTGTCTGAAGTTGGAATTAAGTTGCCTAAAATTTTAATTTCAAGTGGGGGTATTCAGTCAGAAGAAGCTTCAATGGAAGATTTCTCTCAAGCACTCATTGTCCACAGATATGTTACCCACGCAGTGGGAAAAGCCGAAGCACGAGCTGAAGTTGAACTAGCTGCGGAAGCAATTCTTAAATCTAAAGACCAGGAAATATCTCGGCTGCGTGACAGACTGAAATACTATGAAGCTGTAAATCACGAGATGACTCAGAGAAATCAAGAGATTAAAGGTATGCTTGTCTGTTTCTTAATTATACGACCATCTTTCTGAATTTTTATGTTCATTTATGTTAGAATTTTCAGGTCTGGCATTTTGCTGGAAATGTGCGTTTTTTGGAATAATGTTTTGATTAAATTTTTCATCCCTGCATGCATGATTCTAACTTGCTATCAAACTGGATGCGAGTTTTTCGTTCGTTCCTCCCAAACAGTTTCAGATACAACAGTGTGTAGAGTTTATACGTCACACTTAACTAATGTCAAATTGTGCAGAGGTTTCACGAAAGCAGAGGCGGATAAGACAGAAGAGGTGGTTTTGGAGTACCGTAGGAGCTTTAGCTGCTATTGGGATTTCAGCTCTTGCTTACGCTTACACAAGCAGCAGCCATCACAGCTCGCCAAGTACTAGCCATTCCGATACAAGCTCCTGTCAAGCTGAGTAAGCAAGCAGGCATTTTTAATGAATAAAGCAATGGCCGAGAACAAGGTCGAGGTGATTTTAGAGTTGGATTTTCTGCTGCCGTTAGCATTTTAGTTCTCGCCTAGGCACATACAAGCAAACATCACGACTTGCAAAGTCTGAGCTATTCTAGTTCAAGCTCCTCTCAAGCCAACTAGATGCAACTGAAATGAAATTTTTATTCGCTAGTAATTCGCTGACATAACATCTATGAATTTCTGCAGCTGTCCGCCGTAGTAATTGTATAATCTAGATCTTTCAGCAATTCCTGCTCTTGTCGTGAGCCCTTTGTCAAATTCTGTTTAAACAGGTAGTGGTGCGATGGACTATGTTGCAGAAGTGAAAATTTTGTAATAATAGTTTGAGTCAACTCCAAACAAACTGCCACAAATTCATTAGTTCGTAAATTACCACAGAAAAGATAGTTGGTAAACCCAACCTGTAAACCGCTTTTTTATTTTGTGCACACATCTGTTTGCATCTGCATATTGTTTATCACAAATGAAAATTCCAAAATGGCTGGAGTCTGGCTATCTTCACTTGTTTGGAAATTTGATGAAGCAAAAATGCAGGAAAACACAGATATAATGTTCTTCCAAAACATTATATAATAACATGGATGGATAAGCATATCCAACTTGCAAAAAGAGTTGTGCTTGCTTCTTCTTTACATTGTCTCAATATAAAATAGGTTTCTAAAATCCAAAACCTGATAAATTTTGGAACAATTCCTCTTCAGAAAAGGAAGATCTACTAACATACTGATGTCTAAGTGAGAAGTGAGAAGTGAATCAAAGCAATCTCCAGTCCTGGACTTCATTCTGAAGCTTTGCTAATTTCCCAATGCAAGGTCGTGCCATACGTCATCAACAACTGGCTGGTTCTCTTGATCTGATGATAATAAGAACCAAGTTTGAGTTTAGTAACAAGAATTTCATATAACATTGCAATAATGCATACTCTTCATCAGTATAGAAGCTTATAGGTGGCTTAACCACAAAAGATGCAGCTGCACTTGTCTAATGATCATATTTGGACGCACATATACACAAAAGTCCTCTAAAAGTATGGTTATTTTTAAGATGGTTCAAACTACCGAGAATAAGAACAAGAGAGAACACAGCACTTAATGGCAAAACTCATATTATTGCTTAGACAACACTGAAAATGGAGGTGGAGGATGGCCATTGCTTTCAGAACTGACACATAAATCAACCTAACTCTCAATACCATTTCAGATTCTGGCCAGTGGATTCATTTACCTAGCATTTATCAGACCATTCAATTCTCATAACACTGCAAGTCTAAGAATTTCAATGAGGCTTAAAGCAGCCATTTTCTCAAACAGTACAGCAAAAGCTTAGTGGCATTCCACCCATTGGAGCTTCAACCTAGTTAATATCCAACCGGAACATTAGCACTTTGAGGCAGTGACTATTAAGTACTTTACATCAACAATAACTCTAAGCTAAACACGGTAAGTATCTTTTCCCGGTCAAAATTGCGGAAAAAAGAAAAAAAGAAAGAAAATATCTAACCGTTATTATGAGAAAAAGAAACAAATGGTTCACTAATTCTAATCCAAACTACAGCTCATATATTCATTCTAACTTAGCGCAAACAGTCGACTTTTTTTAACACTACTTTTTAGAAAGGAAAAGAGAATTTTCATAGCATAATATATTGTTCTCCACCTTTTGTCCTGTACAAGTTTACTTCTGGCAAAGAATGTTTTAGCCAGCCAAGATTCGTCCAACATTAAACCAAACAGAAATGTTTATTCACAACCAAAAAATAAAAAAAATAATAAAAAAAATTCATGTCTAGCATTGCAATGAGTCTCAAGAAAAAGAAAACTTCATGTACTAAGACTAACTTTAAGTCAGGGATCAGAAAATCAAAATCCAAATTCACATCAAAATCATAAAGATAAGAGCATACAACTCAGAATGCAAGCTTTTGAAGAAAAGTACTCAAAAGAGAAAGAAGCATACTGGGTTCCTCATTGTCCTCAGTCCGGGTTTCGAGTACCGGTGGTAATGGAAGATCTGCAAAAAATTTTAAAAAAATTAAGCAAAATTTGTTCATGTATCTCTCAAAATGAATGAAAAGAAATTAGGGCAAAAGAAGAGGGTTACCATCTTCGGGAAGGGTGTCTCTCATCCAATCTTCATCGACTATATCAATGAGAATCCCCAAACTCAGGAATTCCGCCATTAGCTTTTGCTTCCTACTGAGTTCTTGATGGTAATAATAAGCCTAAACGACGACCTAATTCCCCTCTCCCCTTTGCCGTTTTGTGGTTCTGTTTTCCAACTTCAAAAAAACGGGGTAATAATAAATGAAGATAAATGGTAAATTTAGATATTTACTGCCAGATTTACATTTACCGTTCTGGGCATATAAATTGTCCCATGTAAAAATTTCAAAAAACACGAAAACTTTAACAGGAGCAGAGTCCTGCAACAATGGCGGCCACGATCATCTCCCGCTCCTTTTCCATCTCAAATTCCCGCCATATTTCGATTCTCAAGCATCTATTGAAACCTTGTTTTTTCCCTTCTCGACCCTTTCCTTCGTCATCTTTGATTCCCGCCGCCATCTCTGAATCCCCATTCCGATTCTCTCGCTTAAATCCGCCATTTGGAATGCCATTTTGCACTTCCTCCTCCTCCTCCTCCTCCGCCGCCGCAGCCGCCGCCCATTCAGAAACTACGGGTAATTCTACGGCTAAACCTCGAAAGCGCAATACTTTAGTGAATTTCTCAATGTCCGATTCAGAGTTCGATTCTGACTCCGACTCGGAATCTAAACCTCAAAATCGTGTTGATAAGTCTAACCTACCCCCACCATATGATCCATTTAGCAAGAAACCCGTCATCGAGGAACCCGAGGATCCGACGAACTTGCAAGAAGTGTTCCACAGGATGCGTGGTGATGGGATGATGGACAGTGCGGCTAAGATGTTCGATGGATTGTCTAAGGATGGTTTGACCCACGAGGCGCTGGAACTGTTTTCGCAGATTAAGGACAAGGGGCAGATGCCGGAAGTGGTGGCTCACACGGCTGTGATGGAGGCTTATGTCAACGCCGGGCAGGCGAAGCAGGGCTTGAAGGTGTTTATGCAAATGTTGGGTTCTGGGGTGCTGCCTAATGCCTATACATACAGTGTATTAATCAGGGGCCTGGTGGCTAGCGGGGACGTGAAGTTGGCGAAGGAGGCAAAGAAGCACGCGTTGGAGATGGTGGAGAAGAGAGGGATAAAGCCCAACGCCGGGGTTTGTGCTGGTGTTTACGAGGGTTTGGCGAATGTAGGGTTGGCAGAAGAAGGGAAGGAATTGTTGGAGATTTTGAAGAGCAAAGGGGTTGTTCCAGAAGAGGGGATGGTTAGGGAAGCTGTGAAGAATAAGAGGGCACATCTAAACACAATTATGAGCATACTCTATGGAGGGTAGTGATTGCTGTCAATACTAGGAATCATCCGTAACACTAAAAAATCCTTGATTTTGATATCGTTAAGCATCTTTCAGGTTATTCCTAATTCCATATTTTCAGTCTGAATATCGAATTAGATCGTATCTGTAAGCAGAATGATGTTTTTACATTAGTAAACATGATTTGAACATAAAAATTGTGCCAACAGATTTCCTTTGGTATTAGTAATGACATGATAGTGACAATGAGTAATACAACATCTGATTTCCAAGCATCAAAGCCTCAAAATTGAATTGATCTGTTAAGTAATATCTTGTCAATTCCAGCAAAAACTATAAATAGGATTAGAAATAGTCTTTTCTACGAAAATGCCAGGCATCATTGTGAGCAAATCATAGCTCTTAATAGTTTGCCTAAATATGGGGCAACATAAATAATAAGCGGGCAAGCAACGAACAACATTAGCACGAGAGAGGATCTCTCAGAAACTGGATAAGAGAGACCAGCTGAGCTGGTGGGTGGAACGAGTGAGGACACGCAAGAAATAGTAAGACCTTCCTCTGGCACAAAATCCAACAATTTGTTCCACATTTAGGACCTTCTGAACAACCATCAACGAGAACAGGAGCTCCAGTCTTCATCGTGATCCAATTTGTCCCAGCCTTTCACCCACAAAAGATGCTAGATGAATTCACGAGGAATCAATCACCTAGTTAATAACCTTGCTTGGTGGGGCATTCTGATGCCCTATGACCACTCCGACCACAGTTGAAGCATGCGCCACCAAAGCCTCTGTTACAGGTTGTCAAGTCACAGAACATTAGAGATTGAGCTGAGTTAAAATTAGAAATGACAATAAGCAACCTAATTGCTGACAGATATCATCACGTGTTGTTAGTTCACGGGCACAACAAACAAACAGGTATGGAAGGAAAAAAAATGCCACAGGTCCAAAATAGTAAAGCACAGTTGATGTACTAAGAGATTGAACAGGGGAAGACAAGTATCCTCAGACGAAACATACCTGTCCTTGTTACCAAAAGATGGTCGGCTAGATCGTCTTTCACCACCAATCAACCAATCACTTTTGCCACTCCGACCCCCTCGCCTAAAATCATCATCACCATCAGAGAACCGACTCTGGCTTCTGCCACTGCGACCACCTCGCCTAAAGTCATTATCATCATCGGAGAATCGACTGCTGGACCAACTTCTGGAAGACCTGGAACCCCTATCCCTGAATCCTCCACGTGAACCGCGGTCCCTGTTTGAAAACTTGCCATAGAAATCGCTGGGGGGACCATCATCTTGCAGGGCTGGCAACTGCAAGAGAGCAGAGCAGTGAGCATAAGTTATGAGGTCTTCTAGTCATATATATTCACAACAAACAAACATATTTTACAGAAAATAAACAGAAATGTAAAACCGATTATCAAAAATGCCACCAATCACAGCGGAGTGACCTACTTTTGAGATCTTGGAAATAGTGTTTCCAGGTGGTAACTCCATGCTTAGAAGTTCCTTTGCGATCTCTTCGGGAAGATCAAAAACTGCTCCTTGAACCTAATAGATTTTAGAACGGAAAATCAGAACGAGTGAAATTATGAAGTTAATCATATGTTAAAACAGGAAAGATAAGACTATACCTGTGGATCTGCAATCAGGTGAATTTTTCCTAGCTCATCTGCAGCTGCTGAATAAACACTTGCAAGGAACCCAGTAACTGATCTATTTGTTAAATACCCTCGAGCAGCGTCAGAATCACGGATCAACTGCAATGTAGTCCATCCCTGCAATGTAGCATTTTATGTAAGACATTCTTGAAAGGCATCAGGCAGGAAACAGAACACGTGGTCAGATGTTTGACCAAATCCCTAGTAACAAAGCTCACAAGCATCAATGGACAACTGGAACACTAACAGCTAAGGAAGAGAGTTACTTTCTTCAGTCAAACCATGTAGCCAATATGACTCTAGTATTCTCTTGGAAAACTTAAGGATCTCATAGTAATTACCGATCCTTAAAACTTAATCTGCAGCAAGTACCTGTTCGTGAGTAATAAGAGATCTTGATGATGGAGGCTGTGAGAATCCACTCAAGTGTGCTAGTGCAGCAGCAAGAGCATCTACTCCCCGTTCATCCATCATCTTCTGTGCAGTTGGGGTGAAATACGATATAGATTCAGAATGAACTCCACCAAGAGTGGCCACAACTTGCTCGGCAGATGACTCCAAAACCTCTTCAATAGATGGTGGGCTAATAAAATCAAATTTGCAACCAACATCATGCTCGAGTGATCTGACTGTTCTTCGCTGGCTGCTTGTGAACATGAGAATAGCTCTGCCTTCCTTTCCTGCTCGCCCCGTGCGCCCAGAGCGATGCACAAATGTCTCAGGATCATTGGGCAACTCATAATGAATAACCTAGAAGCAAAGACACACGATACCCCAACATTAAGCATATCACACATCATTACACACAGTCCAGTGTAACCAACTGGAAGCTGCTAAGCGCAAGGAAGCTTCACCCACAGGAAATAATAATAACATTAACTTTAATCATAGTATCTAGAAATATGAAAATTCAAAGGAAATCTTTATCATGTAGCAGAGCTGTAACTTTAATGCACTTACAAAACATGTATGACCAAAGGAAGTCCAATATTCAAGGCTTCAAGCAATATCAGTAATATTGGAGTTTCTAATAAACCATGCAACCAATGATAGTAAACAAATTAGAGTGGAATATAAAAGTAATTTACCACAGTACAACAACCAGTATCAAGGCAAACTAAAGAGTGACATTTGATACTTTATATCAGTTATCTTCTGGCAAAAGCATTAACACCACCAAAACACAAAAGAATATAAGAAAGAAGAAAAAATATTGGGAGAAGCAAATTTATCGGTACTAAGTCTGATGCACATTCATATCTACTTACCAAATCTACATTGGGTATGTCCAGACCCCGGGATGCTACATCAGTGGCCACCAGGACAGTAAATTTCCCTTGCCTAAAACTATTTAGCGTTCTTTCCCTCTGGTGCTGTGATATATCTCCATGCAGTGCCTCAGAAGCAATGCTGTTTGTTAATGCTAATGAAACTTCATCAGCATCTTTCTTGGTCTGAGTAAAGACAATGGTCTTTCCACCCTTTGCATATACCTGTAAGACATTAATCCTTCCAGTCAATGCTACTCCAGTTGAAGGCCTTAATCAATTTGAGGAACAGATTGAGCTTATCCACGGAAAATGAACGAGAATCGTACCGTAATAAGGTCACTTAAAATTGTTCGCTTAGAGGTGGCAGTGGTAGGTATTGCGAACAGCTTTATCCCTTCGGCCAATTTTTCTTCCTCGTCACCAACCTGTGGAGGAGAGCAGAAGGGAAGAGGTAAAGCAGGAGGTAAGAATGCCATTTTGGAATGCAGTTTATGCAGTAAAGCAACCTTCCAAAATAACTTACCAGATTTCTGAATTTAAAAAAGAAAAAAGCAAAGCGGAATGGAAATATGACTTCAGAACACCTTAAAGGCACAACTGATAAATGAAGAATGTATGAACTACCAAGCAACAGGAAATACAAACCTACTTAAGTACTGTGGACAAACGCATAAGCTACCAAGCAAAGAGATAAAAGATGTACAAAAAGAACTTCAAGAACTAACCAAATCAATCGTCAATGGATTATCCAAATACTTCCTAGCCAGTTTTTTCACCCAACCAGGCATGGTTGCTGAAAAAAGCATGCTCTGCCTCTGTGATGGAAGCTTTCCAAGAATTAGCTCCACATCTTCTTCAAATCCAACAGCAAGCATTTGGTCGGCTTCATCAAGGACCAAGTACTCAACTTCTCCCAATTTTAAACTACCATTATTGATTAGATCAATAAGTCTTCCTGGAGTTCCCACCACCACGTCCACTCCACGGGAAAGGGAATTTTGCTGAGAATTATAAGAAACTCCTCCATATACACAAACAGTGTTCAGATATGGAGCAGACTCTTTGATTTCTTTCTCTACTTGCTTGGCTAACTCCCTAGTCGGTGCAAGGACTAAAACGCGGGGAAGCCGTCCAGACCGTCTTAAGAATGATCAAAAGAAAAACTTCAATTATTCTGCTAACAAAAGTTAGCATGAAAATACGGTATTCTACAATAGGCATACCTTTTAGAAAATCTTTCTTCTTCACCTTCGGTAAGTCGCTTGATGATTGGAATTCCAAAAGCTAATGTCTTCCCAGTTCCTGTCTTTGCACGAGCAATTATATCACGGCCTTGCAGAGCTGGTGTTAGAACAGATCTCTGCAAATTCAGTAGTAAAGTAAGAAGAGTTTCCTCTTAATAGGTGATGAAAATGAATACCCCATTGACCCACAGTTTATACGAGTCAAACAAAGGCATACAAGAAGGTGAATAATGGCTCCCTTTTCCCCATGTAACGACATCACTGATAACCACACATCAGTATCTTGGACCAATATCCCACAAAGTAATGCAGCGAGTAGAAGCAAATAGTGACTTCCTTTTCCCCATGTAACCACATCACTCATATTCCAAAGACTAGAAGCAAACACTTAAGCCACAATACATTTATCTCATGAAACTCACGAAAAATTATACAACAAGAGAATAAGTACATGTTAAGTTAGTTAGGCCTCAATTTTCCAGCAACAGCAGATAAAGAAAACCGAAGTCCAGACTTGAGGTGTTTTGTTGCATCCATTGCCTTCCCAGTAAGCATTGTCATATTTGCAACCATTACTAAATTTGCCACGAGTTTTTATAATAGGAAAGGGTTAAATCACATAAGAAACTACTAACATTTTGAACAAGCTAGCTTGAATTTCATTTTTCTTTCTCTTTACAGAGTAGTTTGTAGTTCCACGTTTATATGTTAAAAAAAAAAAAAAAAAAAAAAAACTAACACCACAAGTCTGTTCATACATGTAAGAAGAAACCAACAACTCTAACATCAAAATTAACACACTAATTAAACCAAATTCCTCAAACAGTTAAACAGAACGCTGAAGATAACAAAGAAGTAGAACAAAGAAACGTACTTGAATAGGGAAAAGCTGAGTAATCCCTCGTGACTCCAGCGTCTGAACAAGCTTTTGTGGCAAACCCAACTTAGCAATATCAAGCTCATTCTCATCCACAACCTCATCTTCACCAAAACCCTCATCTTCACCGAAACCCTCATCATCATCCTCATAATCCTCTTCTTGAGACTCATACTCAGTCTCACTGGCCTCCAAAGAATCCTCCCGAAACCTCCCACCGCCAAGTCCCTTAAAGGCCTCCTCACTAAGAAGCGAAGAATTCGGTGTCACCACAGCAGAAGCAACAAATGGTGATGAATTCCCATTTGAAGCAGAGCTCTGTTTAGCAGAACGCAACTGACCATTGGAGGCAGCAACCTTGAGACCACAAAAAACCGATTTTTCAGGCCCAAAAGGGAGAGACAAAGGAGGAGTTGAAGTGGGCCGTCTTGAATGTTCCAAAGAAGGGTTTGTTTGGTATATGGAAGAGACTCCTATAATTGAGGAAGAGCAGGCCATTTTTTTCTACAGGATAGAAAGGAAGAGAGGTTGGGGAAGGAGGGAAACGAAGACGGGGGGAAGGGGATAAGGCAGTGGCTTTGAGCTGTGGGAAAGGTTTATATGGTACTACGAAGTTCCACCGGGGTTTTAAGGAGATATTTCTTTCTTCTGGATGACAAGGTTAAAAATATCGGTAAATTGTCAGGACCTCTTTTACAATTATTTTAATACTATTTTCTATACCGTTTTAAATTTTTTATTCCTTTTTTTTTTTTTACTAAACTCCGTAATAAAAATCGAAAGCAAAAATAATATAAATATAAACCAAGGATTTTTAAAATTTTTTTTTTTTTGGTAAATTGGATTTTTAGATTCGAAGAAAGAAGTGTTATTACATGATGAGAGTGTTTTGATGTGAAAATTTGCTTTTTCATTTGAACACTTTAGAAGCATCAATCAATTATGTTCAATGTCTTCTTCTTCTTCTTTTTTTTAAAAACATTTTTATTGACTTTATCATATTTTGTAAGGCATGACTCTGATGTTCATCCGTTTTTATGGATGTGTTCGCATGTAAAAATAATATATAATATAAAAATTAAATTTATAATATTAAACTAAACTATGTTTATGGATAAGAAGAGCATATAATTATTTATATAAGAACCAAAAAAATTGTTCAAAATGAACTATTAAAAATATCATAAATCTAGAAACTCGATATTTTGATAAGTTTGTATACTTATAATTAGTGGTTTCTTTTGTAATTAATTCCTAAACGGCACTTCCCAGGTTTGCGAATCTCTTACTTGGCTCCCAATAGATTTCTGTATAAAGGAGAAATGAACAACATTTCATACAAACTGATTCTGAAAGTATGGTCTCTTTTAAACGCCTCCCTTAATATTCATCATCAATTCATAATCATCATTTTGATTGAAAAATGGGGCAGTGGAGGAGTTATGATTTGAGATTAGAGGGTGTAAAATGTATTTAAGAGGGCAAATATATTCATACTTTTTTTTTTTGAAAAATATCAATTTTTCTTTATAAAAAAAATAACTAATTTACATTTTTTTCATTCAAAATATTAAAAAAAATTAGAATCATTTTGTAAATATAATACATATTTTTGCCTTTCGAAGTTATAACAGTATGTGGTTCAAATTTATTTGGTAAGATATATTTTTTATAAAATTTTTAAAATGTCTAAATTTGACAAGTTTTTTATACAGGGAAAAAAAATACTTCTTTATATTACATCAAACCCGCTACAAGAAATAAAAAATTAATATAATTAACTTGAGTTTGTCATCAAGATGCATCATTTTCTATTATTCACCATGTATATTTGACCATTTTGCGTTTTAGTTTTCTATTTTGGGCTTTTATTTTTGTGCTAATTTGGGTCATGATTTTGATCTCAGATGTGCATATTTAATTTATTTGGGCCTTGACTTAGAATCTCTTATTATTAAATGGACATATACATGTCATTTATAAACCATGAAATTGATATTATTTTCTCCTTTTGTAAAACTTTGCTATTTCATATATTTTTTTACTTAAAACTAGTATTATGCCCGCACGTTGTGCAAATTTTACTATATTTTAAAGTAAATGTACCATTATTTTCCTATGAAAAGTATTACGTGTTTTAGTTTTTCCATTTTTTGGTATATCAGACATTCGAAGTCCATATTCAAGAGTGTCATATGGTTTTTTTTTTCTTCTTTCGGTATATAGTGTATCCGGTGTTTGAAATCATTGTTCCAATTAATCCGTCTTTGAATCGGGTAGATCACTTTTGGAAGACAAACCTTTTCCAACAATCATTACTACATGCTCGTACAAAGATTTGATCATGGGCTGTAATTCACTTGGTCCAATATTGTTACCACTTTGATCAAGTATTTCTTAGCCATGTAGGGTATTTTAAAATATAAAATTAATATGTTCAACCATCTAATATGCTTCTTGTTTATGACTGATAGTATATCCAGAAAAAAAAAATTCTAAATACGAATTAATATGAGCAATTGTTTACTATCCTACTTTTTACGGATATAAGTATATAAAAGTTATTTCAACAAAAGAAATTAAATCATGTATATTCTTAAAATATATTGACTAAAAAAATATATATTATTTACTTGTAGTAATTGAATCAAATATTATAAATAATCTTTTTGTAGGCATAACGCAAAATAAAAAAAAATTCCAACAAAAGTAAATAAATCACAAAAAATAGGGGGAAAAAACCATGACGAAAAAAACTAATAAATAATGTCGAAATACTTATACATACTCCGAACTTTTTTTTATTTTTTTTAATAGTAAAACAGGTTGTGCCTGTCGGGTGCAGGACCCATTTTATTTATCTTGACTCATAACTTTTTCCTTAGTTCTGAAATTAAACTCTTTTTATTTTTGAAAAATATATCAAATAAAATTATTTAAAAAATAATATTAGCATATGTATGATGTATCTAAACTTGATTTCAAATTGTATTCGCAATATAATGATTTGACAACTAATCTTTATATTTTTTATAACTATTTTTTTTATGTTTGAAAAATATATCAAATGGAATCATTTAAAATAATACTAATATACATTTAATGTATCTAGACTTAGTTTTTAATTTTATTTATAATATAATGAGTTGTTAACTAATCTTTATGTTTATAATAATTTCTTTTTATTTTTTGAAATGTATCAAATAAAATATTTTGAGAAATATATTAATCTACATTTAATGAATCCAGACTTGGTTTTCAAATTGTATTCATAACATAATTATTTGTAACTAATCCCCTTTTATTTTTTAAAATTAATCTCTTTTTATTTTTTGAAAAACATATTAAATGGAATAATGTGTAAAATAATATTAACATATCTTGCATGTATCAGACTTGGTTTCGAATTGTATTTTTAGTATAATTATTTAGTAACTAATCTCTTTTTATTTTTAAAAAATATAATTATTTGGTAACAAATATATATATATTTTTGTTTTTGGTAACTAATCTATTTTTATTTTTGGAAAATATATCAAATAGAATCATCAGAAAAATATTATCCACTTATGTTTAATGTATCCAGACTTAGTTTTGAATTGTACTTGTATAATTATTTGGTAAATAATCTCTTCATTTTGGTAAGTAGTCTCTTTTTATTTATGAAAAATATACCAATCATCTAAGAAATAATATTAACATACTTGTAATGTAGGTAGACTTGGTTTCGAATTGTATTCGTAATATAGTTATTTGGTAACAATCTTTTTTTTTTGGTAATTAATATCTTTTAATTTTTGAAAAATATATCAAACAATCATCTGAAAAATATATTAACTTACGTTTAATGTATCTAAACTTAGTTTTAAACTGTATTCTTAATACAATTATTAATTTGATGATTAATATTTTTTTATGTCATATATTTGTTAGTAATTATCAAAGACGTGTTTATTTTTCTGAAATTAACTATTGGTTAATTACTTAATTCAATTTAACAATTTTACGTATTAGTAATAAACTTTTAACTGTTTAATGAAGGAGAATTTTGATGACGACACGTGGCACAATTGGCTAAACTTGCTCCTTGGGCAACATGTGTCGATTAAGAACTCTGCTTTAATATATACTAGATGCTTGCCCCGGGCAAATGCCCAGGTTGTCGCCCGTATTTTTAAATTGATTAAATAAAAAATACGAATCATTCTTAAAAGAATAAAAAAAAATTAGAAGAATAAAAAATCGATTAAAAGTACAGAAAGTGAGCTATTACACATAAATCTATGCCCAGATTTACAACATTTAATTTATAACAGTTAACTTATGTCCGGATTTACATAAACCATAAACCAATATCTACAACAGAAGAATAAAAAAAAATTATCCTTAAAAAATCAAATTTCTTTCATGATAGCTTATTATTTCTCTGTTGTAGAAAGAGATGGATTGATAATTGATATTAAATTTTAAGTAATTGATTTAAAGACCTGGGTGTGAGAGAGAGCGGAATGGAAAAGATTTTTTGAAATTGGGGATTGGGGAGACATTACTGGTGTTTCACTTGGTTTAAGGGAATTTCCTAGTATTTGATTTTATCTACTAAATGTTGTTATTTTAAAGGATTAGTATATACCTATAATTAAGATATTTTTATGTAGCTATAATTAAGGAATTTATGTATTTATCTATTCTATTTTTTTCTGATTAGTTAGAGTGCCACGTGTCAAAAATGATTTTGTACTGAAAATGGCATTTGGCGGGAAAATTTTCATTATGGTGCTGACACATGTCCTTTTTGTTTGTTGCTTTAATTAAGTACTATAGATAATAATAGATTTACATATATCCAGTGTAAAATAAACGTTGTTCCAATTTTTTTTTTAAATAAATTAACTAAAAGATTTTAAATTATTATTATCATAAAATCTGTAGAAAGGATACAAAAATGAACAAATTATTATATATATATATATATGTATATATTAATAACTATAATATAATTGTTAAAAATAAATTGAAAGCGAAGGAGGCGCACCCGCTGTCCATCTCCTGGCTCTGCCACTTATTTGGGGATGATTAATCAGATAGTTACTAGGATAGCTAGAATATTAATATGTAAACGAGTAAGGTCCGAGTGATCTTGATTAAAGAAGTTTCAAGTATGTCAATATAAGAATGTATTATTATAATATTAGCGTGAGCTTATCTGTTACCTTTCTTTTAAAAGAGAAAGAAAAATAATTTATTTTTTATAACAAAAAATTAACTCGTGGACAAGTCATTGAAGATTTCCAACGTATTAGATTATAGCTCGCCTTCGACCAATGACGAAGTTAGGTTTAAATTATGTGCTACAAAATGAAGTCAATAAAGTAAATGTAATCAACAAATAAAATATGAAATGTTTTAGAGAATACTAAAATACAATTTTTCTCATTTTAAAATCTATAACAAATAATTTAGAACCATTCCATCAATACTTTTCACATTTTGCAACTAGAAGTCATAAGGTTATGACCTATGTGTCAATTTTACAGGAAAAACATATTATAAATTTGACAATATCTATATATAAGAAAAAACAGCAATGATAGAGACAGTAACAACTTAAAATGAAATGAGACAAAGACTTTTGAAAAGGCAAAAAATACATCACCCTCACTAAATATGTGAACTTATTAATTAAAGAAAAAAAATATAATTTAGGAAAGAAATACACCCTCACCAAACATAAAAACATACTATTAATTAAAGATAAAAATATAATTTTAGGAGAAAAATAAAATTTTAACAGGAAGTGATAAAAAATAAAGAGGATCATAATACTTCACAGCCGTCAGTATTTTTTTCACTATACATATTATTTTTTCGAAGAAAAATAAAACATAAATCTAATTTTCTAAAAGAAACCACTAAAAAAAGGATTACTATAATTAAGTTGATTTGATTTTGTTATTGCTCGAGCATACATGGATTTGCATGAATTTACACTTTAGCGGGTGGTATATTTTGCTAATTTAATTTTTCTATTAAATATTTTGCCTATTAAATACCTTTTCAGCTTTTATTTTATGTGAGTTTGACTCTTGACTCTTCCTGGGTCTTCACTACATTAAAAAATTATGGAAAACGATATAGATAGTGAAAATGTCCAGTGAAATAGAATAGTGACTGATGTGACACGTGTATATATACATAATCACCCCCTATTTTGTTGATAGGTATTAGGAGAGTGGTGTTCTTTTTTTCTTTTTATTAATCACCATTACATTTTATTATAAATACTCACTATGTGTATCATTGTCCAAAAAATATATGACACATCCATCAAAATTATAAGAAGGAAAATGATATATATAGTGAATAACAATAGTGATAAAACATACTGACTGATGTGGAATAATCATGGCCCTTAGTTTTTTGTCACTTTCCCGTTGAAGTTTTATTTTTTTTACTCAAATTATATTTTTACCCTCAATTAATAATTAGTCATGTTTAGTAAGCGTGTGCTGTATTTGTCTTTTCATTTGTTATTATCCAAATTCACTATAATTTTCTATTATCTGTAACATTGCTCTAATAAGAAAGACATATAAAAATTCTAAACTATAAAATGACCTTGACTTATGAAGGATAAAAAATAAAAATAATGATTTCATTAGATATAAAATTCATATATATATATATCAATTTTCTATATATATATATATATCAATTTTCTTAATGGGTGTATTTCGATATTCTCCCATTTTTTCTTTGTTGTTTCCATTTTACCTTTTTTTAGAATTTTTTTATTGCCCCCTCAAATATTATTAAGCGTGACATTGAGCCATTTTTTTTTTCTTCTAAAAAGAAAACACTACAGTTTGATGGATTAGAGGAAACCATTGGAAGTTGGAACCAATATTATAAGAAAAACTGTAAGGACGAAATTGCTTCAAAACCGATTAAGAAGGGAGTAAATATGCCATGCCACATGAGTAATTAATTAGTTATCTTGGATCAAGATAATTTATTACTAGTCATCCTTCGCTGTCAATGATTTCCATTGATTGGGTTTGGTTGATTAATGCACAAGATTCATCCCATAAAGTAATCGTTTTTTTCAAAAGTTTTTCTAAATTCTTGCTTAATCCTTCCTCCAATCTTCTTCGGGTGTTTGACGCAAATTATACTTTGAGAGATTGAATAAGCCGCCATTATTGCACTCTCTTCTTCCTCTGTCCCACAACCCCCAAGAACCAGCACATTCCTTTTCATCTACAGCCCATCTACACACACAATAGAATCACTCGCTTTTTTTTTTTTTTTTAACCTTTCCCATTTAGCTGCATTAAAATACGATCTATTCTTCCTGGAAAATCCTAGTCCGAATTCGCCAATTGTCGAATCCTTTTTGGGGCGAACCCATTTGCTAGAACCCAAAAACCCACTATCAATTTTCCTTCGATTTCATCGATTTAGCTGCCCAAGTTATATTGTTAGGCAGAAACTAGAACTTTCATTGTCTTTCAGGTTATGGGTCACCGCCAGATTTTGTGAATCGATTTGGTTTCGGTTCCCATTACCCAGTAAGGTAATCCTTTTTTGAATTTGTTTTTTCATGTTGGCTGTTTAGGGAATGTTCGAGGTACTTCATTTTTGCCTTTTGTCAAACGGGTCTTGATTATTCATAGCTTTTAGTAATTTAAACTTATGGAACTAGGGCTCGAGCATATATTGAAAATTTTAAGCTCTAGTTAGTTATTAAATGCTCAGTTGCTGCGGGAGTTGCTACCAGTTGCTCAAATCCATTTCCTTCTTATCGGATGCAATTTTTTTTTTCCCCAAATTTTTAAGCGTAAAATTGTTCTCGACTTTATCAAAGAGTGGTCTGATATTGAAATTTCATTGTTAGGCTTTATTGGCACAATATAGTGGAGTAACACATGGCGCCTCTTTACTATATCCTTGTGGCATTGCCTTGCACGATTGGGGCGATTGCTTTGGCTGTTCTTCACATATACAGGCATCTCTTGAATTACACGGAGCCTACTTATCAGAGATTCATTGTGCGCATTATCTTTATGGTTCCGGTAAGTAAGTTTTGTTTAAATAACCACTATTGTTTCCTGCTTCTGATGAAGTTGGCTTGTATGCATGGAGTGTGAACATGTGTTCGTTTCTTAGTATATCATTAGATTTTACTTAGAAACTAGTGTTTTTTCGGAGATGCTGTTCATAGTTTTTGCTCCGTGTCGGCTCTATGCAATATTATGGATAGTATGCTTCCTTTTTAAAGTTAGTTTTATGCTGAAGGCTCCATATCTATTTTTGATGCGTGATGTTTGCAGATGCTAATGGGTGTCTCCCTGCCCCTTATACACACACACACACCAAGAGTTTTAGGTGTTACATTCTAGTTTCAGTTTTAATTGGTGGAAAATCGTTTTCTTCAACAATATGATTTCTCTGTGAACTGTGTTGTGGATTATTCTCTTTTGCCCCTCTCTTCTTGTACATGAAAAAGAGAGAGAAGAACAACTTAAGTTAATGGCAGGTTTTATCCTTTTGATGTGGTTGGTCTATAAAATTAGATGTCGTCTATTTGAGAAAAGTTACTTGAGGCCACAATATAGAAACATGCTTGGCTTGTGGGTTTACTTTTTTGCAAGTTATGGGAGTCGGCGTGCAAATGGGTTGTATAGCTACTAGACTGTGAGAATGTGAGAATATGAAGATACTAAGTGTTTGTTTGGACAAGCACTCATTTTACTTTTTAACTCATTTTACCTCTTAAACACAAAACCCAATGGAAAAGAAAACATCATCCAAACAACTTTCTGATTTACATTTTAAATTCCAACTTGAAACACTTTTTGTTAGTGTAATGACCATTTTAGAACTACAAATAGTTCAATGACAAATTTGGCAGGATTCCGTTGTTGAGTGATTGTTTTTGAAAAAGTTCTTTTTTGCAGTGACTATAAGTGACAGTGTTTAATTGTTTAGTGATGACTCGTACTTGATATTTTCAAAATATAGTTCAAAATATTTTTTTCAAAACCAACATCCAAACAACTTTTTGCTCAAAATACCATTAAAACAACATTTTCATTTCCCATTTAGTTTTCAACTTGAAACACTTTCCACTTTAAGTGGCAAAATGAAATGTAAGATGACGTCCAAACAAACACTAAATTTGTTTTTTTCTTTTCTTTGGATGAAAAGATAGTAATTTCTCAGTATGCAGAATAACGTTGTTATAGCATTATATCAAAATGAATGTTAATGATATGCTTGAGACTTGAACTGTGTTCCAAGACACCGAACGCAACTTGTAGATAACATAAGACATTGATTAAGTCTCAATTAAAAGCCAATATCAGAATTATGTCTCCAGGTTACACTCCCAAGTGCTGAGAGTACCTATTGACCAGCCTCTCCTTTCTGCATCATTCGAACATTGATTGAGATGTAGTAGTAGTTTTTCTTACATGATGCTAAAAATGTAATGATACCGGTTAAAACTTATTTTATTGATGACATGTCTATTCAAAAACATTCATTCTATCAGTATTTATCAGGTCATTCATCATTGCAGTCTTGCTTCAACTTTTATAACTTTCTGAGTAATTAGTTAATCTTCTTGGCCTGATATGTACCTTATTCTTCAATCTTATTGCTGTTGGCATCATGCTGAGATTCTGGTGTACTGTGTGTTAACATGCTGTATGAATTATGGCTACTTGGCTAAAGCGCTCCAAATTAAGATACAACATGGACAGAAATATTGAAAAAGAAGTATTCACTTTTTTATTTTTTTAATGGGGTGAAGAAGGGTGACCATGGCTGTGTATCTTGGTTGGTAAAAGGTTAACGGGTGTAGTTAGTTCGTTCCTTGGGAAAGCTTTTTTCTTCATTGTACTAGACATCAAATATAAAGTTTAGTCTGATTGTTTTCGTGAGATCCATAGTCCTTCAAAATCCATATCTCCATGTTTGTGTGATTCGCTTCCTCCATTTTGTTTTCTCATTAGTGGGCGAAAATGTTCCAGTGCATGGTTCCCGTCATTCTCAAAATTGTTTTTGTTAATGTTTATCTCATTTTTGTGCTCTAGGCGCGGAAATATTTTTTTGGTGTATAACAATCAAGATATGTTTCCAATAACCTTGGTATGTTTTCGACAGGTTTATGCGTTGACTTCGTTCTTGTCGCTCATTCTCAATGACAAGTCTATCTACTTTGATTCGATAAGAGAGATGTAAGTGCTCTTAAGTATTCCTATGCTTCAAGATCATGCCAAGCTCACTGTTGGGCTGTGGACATTTTTCTTATCATTTGGAAGTTTATCTGAAAGGGAAGAGGGCTTCCGGAGGGACTTTGGGGGGGGGCGTTGTTTCTTTGCGAGTGTTTACAATTTTATGATTTTACAGTTACTTTTAGTTCCACTAGCGAGATGCAAGTCCTGCCAAATTTACCTCTATGTTTTAAGGTTATTTCAAGCCTATCATTTGGCTTGTTTATGACTTTCTTATTTGGTATGAGGTAAATAAAATATACATTTTGAAGTATGACATCTTTGGTGGTAGAGTAACCGAACAAGCTATTGAGCTTTATCAAATTTCATGATAGCTATAGCCGCGCAAAAGAATGTGTTTTTTTTCCCCTTTCTAAATGAGGATTATGTTACCGCTGGTCTGAATAATTCCCAAATGAAAATAAATGTCTACTTTAAATTCTTTTGGTATTCTTTTTCATCCTAGAAATATGGCCTGTATCAAATACTTTTACAGGAGTTTATATGGAATAATCTAATCTGATGGTCGTGTCCTGGTTCTTGTTCTTGTGTCGTTCCTTCTATTTTGAAGAATACTGCTTGTATCAAGTTGTAGAGGAGAAGCGGTATCAGTAGCACCATACCTAGTTGGCAGACAGAAACACCCAGCAAATTCATATCAATGTTTACCTAGTGAGCTAATTTGTAGAAATTGTAAAATATCCTGTATGCCCTTGCAGCTTTTCATGTTATTCTCTCGTAGAACAAAGAATAAAAGATGACACCGACTGCTTGACTGTTGTTCAAATCAACCGGCATTTTTATTTCATTTTCCCATTATTGTTAAAATATGCATTTCAATCACAACCATTCCAAAACCTATTGAATTCGTATCTTTGGGGAGTATTTCCCCTTTTTGTTTGACGAAGCACTTTCCCTGCAATGGCTACATTTACAATTCCAGTGAATTAGTCCAGGAATTTTATATTTTGATGTCACTTTGTCCTCCTTTTGGTCCTGATCAGCATTGGCTATTGTTACTGTGCTACCTATTTAGAAGGATTAAGTATTTGCTTTGGGTTGTAGAGACTTGAGGATTTCTAATGTATGTTACACACTTATATGTCTTCTTTTACTGTGCTTGTGTTTTATTGTTGAGGAATACTTATGAATTGCTTTGTTGGATATGTACTTTGACCTCGATGATGTATATAGAAGTGAACACGTTTATTCTTGTATGATTGCAGATATGAAGCATGGGTCATATATAACTTTCTATCCCTGTGCTTGGCATGGGTTGGTGGTCCAGGAGCTGTTGTGCTTAGTCTGAGTGGTAGAGTTCTGAAGCCAAACTGGTGCTTGATGACTTGCTGTTTCCCACCAATTCCGTTGGATGGGTGAGTTGTCCTTGCTTGGATGTGAAGTTATTATTTATTGCTGCTTTTTTAATGTCTGGCTCACGACTTCTATATAATGATGTGATCTTTATTTAGCTTGCCACTTCCTTTCCATATGCATGTTTAAGTTACTGGCTGGTAAATTAAAATGTACTTGTTTTGCGAAGTTCCTTGAATAGTTATATTTATCTCTTTGAGACATTTTCATGACTTCAAATATTTTGAATTGGTCTGAGAATGTAAGAGTTATTTCTGTTTTGTGTAGTCATACTATTTTCTAGCAGATTGTGAGGCATAAATTGATAGATTTGAAATTTTGCAGGCGCTTCATAAGAAGATGCAAGCAAGGATGTTTGCAGTTTGTTATCCTCAAGCCCATCTTGGTTGCAGTCACATTGATACTGTATGCCAAAGGAAAGTACGAGAGTGGGAACTTTAGTCCTATACAGTCATATCTCTACCTCACCATTATCTACACATTCTCCTACTCAGCGGCACTCTATGCGCTGGCTTTGTTTTATGTCGCATGCAGAGATTTGCTTCAGCCATTTAACCCAGTCCCAAAATTCATCATTATAAAATCTGTTGTGTTTCTTACCTACTGGCAGGTATGTGCTAATATCTGCTATTTGAATTTAAGTTGAAGATTTTGTGTTGCAGTTTTGAAGTGTCGCATTTACTGTCCGTGCTTGATTCTGTCAAATGGTTGACTGTTGTTAACTTTGGTTTCAGGCAGTGATTGATACCGCCATTTATCTGCTGTTGTCATTTGACCGTTATTCTCTTCCAATTTGTTGATGATAGTAATGGAAGCCTTTTGCTTCTGATGCTTATCCTTGAGTATGCAAACAACTGTACTGTTTTGAATTTTAAAACCTGGAGTGCATTTGCATGGCTTCTTAAAACTGTCAGTTCAGGCCCTTGTATGTGGTTTCTGCTTGTTAACTGCATGAGGTTTACCCATGTCACGACGTGTTGCACTCTAAAGCAGAAAAAGTTGGTGGCGTAGGCTGTACTAATTCTTGCTAACAACTGAGTTTCATGAATGTTTGATTAAGTCTCTACTTTAGTTACTGATTTCTGGTTCCTGAAAGGCTGTTCTTTTTTCTACCCAAAAAAAAGGTGGCCTGAGTTTATTTTTCCTTGTTTGTGGAATTCGATGAAGGCCACTTCTGCCTTTATTGTTATTGAACTTTGTGTTGCGAAGCTTGACTTTGTATTTGTTTGATTGTTGGCTTCGTATTCCTCACAGGGTGTTTTGGTGTTTCTTGCTGCAAAATCTGGATTTATAAAAGATACAACTGAAGCTGCTGAATTCCAGAGCTTCATAATCTGTGTTGAGATGCTCATTGCAGCTGTGGGCCATCTTTATGCATTTCCATATAAGGAGTATGCAGGTGCTAATGTTGTTGGTTCACACGGCTTTACAGCAAGCCTTGCACATGCTCTTAAGCTAAATGATTTCTACCATGATACAGTCCACCAGGTGACAAACTTATTCGTGTCTTTGACATGTTGACCTTTTCTCTTCATTTCTTTTTGTGGACATTGGCTTCATTGCATTAGTTCTTCTTGTAACTTTTCATGTTCTTTGCAGTTTGCACCGACTTATCATGATTATGTGCTGTACAACCACAATGAAGGTGAAGAGGGAGCAAGGAAATACAGAGCACGGACTTTTGTTCCCACTGGGCCAGAAATGGACACTGTTAGAAAAAACAAGCAGATGCTTGGGAATAAGTTAGAAGACATACAGTTGTCCAGTCTTTCATCGTCCGGAAGTAGTACTCCCCAAAATTCAAGTGGTGCACAGGATATTGCCAAAGCTGAAGCAATGAATTCCTCATTGCTAATGGATCCATCAAATGCTCTCTCTACTCCATATGATCTAACGCTGATTGATATAGATATGTCTAGTTACCCTTCAAATGTAGCTTCGGCTAGTGAATCTGGGCAAAGGTGATTGCTTGGTCTCTTTGAGGATGCCTTCATTCACATTACTGACTTTAGAATTGTACATTTAGGTCATTATGTTATCATTTAGAATGTTTGATCTGCTGTTTGACCAAATATATACATCAGTTACTATTATTATCAATACTGTAGATATGTGATGTTAATTCAAATTGGTTTGCACGGTTGAGCTCACAGAAATCAGGACCGGAATCTCTATTTTTTATTTTGTTCCTTGCTATATATAAGAAACCTTTTCTATCTACAATTTGTGTCATTCCATTTCAAATAATGATTGACAGCATGGCATTTTGGGTGATTAAGAAAATGACTCTTTTGTCCGAATATCACTTTCTAGTCTACGAGACTTGATTACAAAATAAGTTCAAATGTTGAGGTTAATTTTTAAATTTCTCATAGTTTGAGATGAAATCATTCTAATTATCCAAATTTAAGGACTAAATACCTAATTTTTCCTTGGGGGTTCTTTCGTTCTTGAAAGCCTTGAAAACATCAAGCAAGACATGAGTAAAGCTTACGACCGAATGTCGTGGGCATTTCTCTAACAGATTTTGCTCAAGCTAGGCTTTCCTGAATCCATCACTGGACTGATTATGAAATGTGTGACCACAATGAGTTATTCGATTACTTTTAATGGATGGAAGTCTGACTCTTTTCTCGCCTAAATGCGGTTTGCGTCAGGGCTGCCCGTTATCGCCATATTTATTATCTGTCAGCAAGCATTGTCGCTAGCACTGGAAAGCTTGGACAAGAAGCACCGTTTTAGTATCAGAATGGGAAGAAAAGTGCCTAGTCTTTCTCACTTAATGTATGCAGACGATTGCTTAGTATTCATGGAATGCACAAAAACTAACATTCAACTGATTTCATGCAAAAAAAGAATATCCTTTTTGGTAGTGTGGTGGACAGAATGAAGCAGAGATTAGGCTCATGGAAAAAATAGATCTTTGTCAATGTTAGGAAGAGTAACTTTGGCCAAACACGTGCTCTCGTCTCTACCAATATATATGATGAGTGCTTTTAAGTTGCCTTTCAGTGTATGTAGGGATATTGATTCTATTATTGCAAGGTTTATATGGAAAGGAGATGGAACCGGAAAAGGGATCCACGGGAAGTCGTGGAAATTTATGTGTCGCTCAAAGTTTCAGGGAGGAATGGGCATGCGATCCGCTAGAGAGCTTATTCTTCTAATTCTTCCATTAGCCTTATTTGATTTGTTTTGCTTGGATTCAGATTGATGATTCCGGTAATCCTTGTCTAACTCCCAGTGGCAGCCTTGCTGAATATCTGCCAAGGAAACCTTATTATCGTATCCCCCATTCCCCCTCCCTCCCCCATCTTTCGCTTTTCACTACAAAGAAGGAGGGATTGTGTTGGCTGTTAATCATCCTCGTGCCACCAAGGATCACAATACACAAGGTCAAGTGGTTTGAGTTTTATCAGATCCAGCTTTTGCCTAGTATGTTTGTGCATGATTATTTTGTCAAAAGTTTTGCTAGGAAGACAATTATGGTTAACATTTTTAGGAATTAGACTTTAGGAAAAAGATTTAGTAAAAAAGTTGAGCTGCTTCTTATAACAGTCGGACTGTCTGAGTTGGTTTTTACTTTACCACACTTGTTAAGCAGTAGCTTATAAATGACATATGTATAACGCTTTCTATTACATTCAGGTTCGGGGATGCCTCAGAACGTAATTGACATTAACTCTTGCATGATTGTCACTACTTCTGGAAAGCTTGTGGACAGCGAATTGTTACTCAAAGATCTTAAAATGAAGTGTCTCCTATGGGAACGAGATAAGAGGAGGAGAATTTCTGTTGTTGAGGCATCACAGATGATGGTCAACATTCTGGCTTATCGTAGTGAAGTGGGACTGATTGCCGGGTGGGATGACGAAACAGGAGCTGAATTGTATCGCGTGGATGGCATGGGGGTAGTGATGAAAGGGACAAGATTTGCATCAGGATCTGGAATGAAGATGGCATATTCGAATCTGGAGAGCTATGGCGGATGTTCCAATTGGGATTACAGTATGGCTCTTAAAGCGATCATGCATGTTGCCAACAGGACTAGGAAAGGTCAAGTTGACTTGGGGAGCCCTGCTCCTGGTAATCATGGTGAAGATTATGCTAGTGGTATGTTTCTCTCTCGTTGTTGCTTTCTTCACATCAACACTTTTAACTTGTGTCTTTCAATCTGTATTCCTCTTTTATGTTTTGTTTTTTTCAGTGTACCATGTAGGACCTTCTGGGTGGGAGTTGCTCTGTGGTGGTGAGATGGATGTGAATGAATGCCTGCCGTTCTTTGGCTTTCGTAAATCCAAGGGCAATGGGGAGTATGTATTTTAGGGACATGTCCCAGATTGTGTTTTTGATGTCTTGATTTTGGTGCAGTTTGTAATTTGGTATGTCTTGATTTGTGCATGTAATCTCAAAGGTTTATTTCGACATTACTTCCAAGTATGGACTGGTTTTGGATTTCTAGTTACGTCCATTTTCCAGTTGGTCTATCATCTTTTTTTGGTTTGAAGAAGGTTAAAACTTCTAAAAGTCCCACTTCACAAACAGTTATGTTACAATTTTACTCGTATTATTATGCATCTGAGGCAGGAGGGCTGCTTAAGATGCTTTCTAGTTAGGTTTGAAACACTTACAGGCTGCATGCAGATCTCGTTGGTCTCACTGAAGTTTAGGCTGCAAAGTGGATTAATATTTATGAAGCCTTTACGAGGAATGTAGGATACAGTATTATGGTACTCTTTTTGTTCCTGAAAAAGTATTATTTTGCCCCTAAAAAGAAAAAAAGTCTACTTGTAAATACAATTGCAATGTGTATTATTTGTTTTGAAACGGAGGGAGTGTAATATAATATATATATATATATATATATATATATATATATGACACGGTATTAGGATCAAAGCATTGAAAGAGATACCACCGCACATATATATATATATATATATATAGATATATATATATAGACACGGTATTAGGATCAAAGCATTGAAAGAGATACCACCGCAGATGCATTTTGCAAAAGAACTTACATTCCAAGAACATTTCTACTGAGAAGTGAGAACGATAAGTATATAACTGAACTCTGGGTGATTATAGTTGTGACCAGATGATTTACAAAATCATTAGTTCCCTCATTACTTCTTTTCTTACTCCCTCTGTCCCAAAATTATTGTCCAGTTTGAGTTTTCATTTTTAGTTCAATTAGTTCAATAATTATGGGACAGATGGAGTATTATTTTTACCTATCTTTAACCTCACAAGATAAGAGACCGTATGTTTTCGTCAGACTGATTAATTTATTTAAACTGCTTAACATGAAAACACAATTTTTCCAAAAATACTTTTCAAGCAATTCGGTAAAATAAAAAAAAAAAAATAATGATAGTCACATTACACAAAAAAAAAATACTATTGTCAGCTCCTGCATCAGCCGTGTCACAATTGTTTCCATTGCTTATTGACATCTGCAAGCCCCTTAAGCGCTTAACGCTTTCCGTATTTCTATCATTGATAAAGTAATATTCTCATCGTATGTGTCGTTTAGATTTTTATTTTTATTATAAATTGAATTAAAAGTAAAAAATAATAACTTTAGGATAGGTGATGCTCCAAACACAGAAATTTGTTACTTTATTAATTTCATCCCTTACTAATTTTTTGAACATTCCAAATAAAGGATTTAAGATATGTATCATCATAATCTTAATTTTTATTTTCAATTGTAATTCCATCACCATTCCAATTATTTGCAACCAAACACAACCTTTGTCTGCACATTGATTTTCTTCTTTTTTTTTTTTTTTTTTTAAAAATATCGGGTCGTTTTTCCAATGCCGTACTCACCGGTCAATGATATTTCTCCAAAAGACGAGGGGTTTTGTTAATAATGAACTGAAACATGAGGGGTTGTCTTGATATTCACCCAAAAAGTGAACCTCATATTTATATAACTAGTGATGCCTGATCGCGCAATGCGCGACCCTGGCCCAGTCTATCTGTAGATCTTAGAAATGTTTATATTTGAAAAAAAATAAAATTTTGTATTTGGAGCGATATATTTTAGAAATATTTGAAGGATTTAGAAATGTTTTATACGTGTGATCATAGAAATATTTGTATTTCGAAAAAAAAAAATAAATTGTATTTCGCCATGTATGTTTTAGAAATGTTTTATAAGTGTTACTTATTAAATATAAATAACCTTAATCGAATATATGTGTTGAAGTAAATGTTAGATAAAATATAAAAGCATCTTAATAAATTTAAATATTAGTAAGATGATTTATTGATGTTCTCCATTGGTCGTGCCAAATCAATACTTAGTTTTGGAGATTTTTAATAGCTTTGTGATAAGCTTCATCCGAAGGGTATACGCTTAAAACAAAATTGACACTTTGTAACAAAAAAACTAATTGATCAATTCAATTTAAAAAACCACTCTAGTTGAATGAAACATATAGAAAATTTTTTTTTAAAAAAACATGTCACGTAAAGTGCAAAGGGAGATTTAGTAATTTTGTTATGGTTAGACAAAAGGGCAATTTAGTATTTTCTACATGCCACGTGGCAATCATATGAGGTGTTTGAAAGGGAGCTTTTTGTTTAGGATATCGGCGTCGTTCCAATCTTGTTTCTCTCTGTCTCTCTTTTATTTAGCCCTCGTCTCGCCAGCCCCTTTTGCTCTGATCTATTGTCTATTCAAGATTAGCTTCAGCGAAAAGGCGAGATCCAAACATGGATGAACATGCAAGCATGGATCTTGGGTTTATCCCGAAATTTGCATTTGGAGGTGGACTCACCTTCAAAGTAAAGAAGAATTGCCAAAGAAAAAGGGCAAAACTAAATGATGATCGTCAAAGCACGGAAGAAGAAGAGCCTTTTTCAACTGTAGCGACACCTGCTGTGGGTCGCAAGAATTATAACAAGGACATCGTCTATGCCGTTAGTTATCTCTCTGTTCTTACTTTTTTCAATTGATTCTATCTTCATTATTGTTGTTATGCATAATTATTTTGTTGTTTATCTTGCTTGGATTTTTTTTTTTTTTTTTGGATTAAAAATTAGGAGGATGATGGCACGGGTAAACCTCTTCTGACCCTTGGATGCCTGACAATGATCCCTTGTTATAGTCCCCATTTTCATGCGGGAGGGGAAATTGTGAATGCCGAATCCATACGGCAAGATCATCTCATTGCTGGCTTGAGACGCGCCTGGATCGCCTTCTATAAGAACAATCATTTCCTTGACGATTTGGGACCCCCATCTTTCGCTTTCCACTACAAAGAAGGAGGGCTTTTGCTAGCTGTTAATCATCCTCGTGTTACCAAGGATCGCAATACACAAGGTGTGGTTTCTGATTTAGCCGTTGCCTATTAGTCCCTGTGTCCTTCAAAGATAGTCCACCTCGAGGTTCTGTTTTAGTTCAAGTTTCTGTTTTATGTAAACAATTGCGAGATTATCCTTTTAGGACATGTTTTTCTGGTAACCCCATGTTTAGAGCTTTAAAAGAAAATATGGCTAAGGTTTTAATGAATTAGGCATAGTCATTAGGAAAAAGAACTAGTTGGGAAAGTTGAGATTCTTCTTGGTACTGTATATAAGTTGGTTTCTACTAAGCTAGACCTCCTAACCAGTAGCTTTTTCTGACATACTACAACACTAATTATTACATTCCGCTTCAGGGTCTCCCAGTGATTTGTCCGAGTTGCCCCAGAACTTAACTGTTCTTAATACCCACACCCTTGCCACCATTTCTGGGAAGCTTGCGGAGAGCGAATTGTTACTTAAAGATCTGAAATTGAAGTGCCAAGATAATGGGAGGAGCATTTCTGTTGCTGAGGCATCAACATTGATGGCCGACATTCTGGCCCACCGTAGTGAAGTGGGACTGATTGCTGGATGGGATGATGAAAAAGGAGCTGAATTGTATCGTGTGGATGGGATGGGAGTGGTGATGAAGGGGACAAGATTTGCATCAGGTTCTGGACTTCAAAGGGGGTATTGCAATATGGAGGATTACGGCGGATGCTCCAATTGGGATGTCAGCAAGGCTGCTAGGGCGATCGTACATATTGCAAACAGGACTAGGAAAGGTCAAGATGAATCATTTTGCCGTGCTCCTGGGAATCATGGTGAAGATTTCGCTAGTGGTATGTTTCTCTCCCCTTGTCTCTTTCACCATGTCGACACTTTTCCCCTGATGTGAGTGTATTCTTCTTTATGTTCCGTTGTTGTCAGTGTATCTTATAGGACCTTCTGGATATGAGATGCTTTATGGTGGTCAGCTGGATGTGAATGAATGCCTGCTGAACTGGGGCTTTCGTAAATGCCTGGGCAATGGGGAGTATGTATTTTAGGGACGTCCCATATTTGTTTTCTACTTTCGCGGCTGATTGGTCTTGGGGGCGCATTTTGAAATTTAATTTCCCTTGCACAGATGCATATTCAATTTTTGCATTAGTTTTGGTTTGTGCTTGTAGCCAGAAGGTTTGTTGTTGCTCATAACTTCTAAAACCATATCATTTGAATTCACTACTTGTAGTTTTGCACCTTTTTATTGGTAGTAGACTCGAAAGATTTTTTATTTTTATCATTACTATTTTTTTGGAATGAAGCAATTCATTTATGATGAAGAAAGTATTACATGGCTTAGCCTAGTTAGAGGCACGATTTAGCTTAGGCTATGCGGTCTTCTGACTATTTCTCTTGTGACTTTTAAGAACATTACAAGTGCTAACAGCCTAACACTATCTAGGAGGACTCCTTTTCTACCAAAGGAAGTAGAGTGACGTGCTACGCTACGCTTTTCTTCACATGATGAAGTTTGCCTTATTTTGGTTGCCTCTCTGTATTTGATAATCTTAAAATCTCATAGAGGCTCTTGTTCATTTGAGCCACAAGCTCGGGCTGATGCCTAAACTAAAGGGAAAAAAGACGCTAAATGTTCAAAATTTTGGACTGTTGACCTATGAACGAGAAAGAAATTTCTGCAGATGTGCTCAAATATTTGTCTCAGGATTTGATTTTCAGTTGAGTCAACCTAAAAAAACTTGACAAAGGTATCTTATAGGGAACATGGAATCAAGATTAATTTGTATTTGATGCGTTCACGTATTACATGTATTACATTTAAACTAATCGATTCAGATAAATTCTTTTCGATGGTTCAACAATTATGTTTCCATTGGATAAGTGGCTAGTGCTTACATATTTTACTATCTTCATTCTCTCTCTTCTAATCAGATTCATAATTGTCACCCAACAAAAAAATGACCTGACAAAAAAATGAGTTGTAAAACCCTAATGTGAGTTTCCAAATAAGTGTATTAAACAAAGTTATCTTTTTATTAGGCAAGTATTATAGAACTTATTACTCCCTCCATCCCATAATTATTATCCACTTTACTCAAAAAATTTTGTCCCAAAATTATTGTCCAATTTGACTTTTTATGGATCAAGTTACACATTTGTCCTTAGTAAAAAACATTATCCATAAAATCTTAGTGGTTAAACAATTACTTATGCAGGGGTATATTCGGTTGTTTAAGGTAAAATATAGTTAAGTTTGACAAAAAATAAAATCTTTCATTTTAGTAAAATTGGACAATAATTATGAGACGGAGGGAGTATATGTTTCTACTCCAACTGTTTTTTTTTTTTTGAGTCACATATTTCATCCTTAAATTGAAAATTTCATATTTTTAAATGCATTTTTAGGACTTTTTACACATATTTTTCCCCTTGGAAGCTTGAGCATAAACAAAAAATTACTAGAAAAATGTTGTCATATACAGTGATTTACAATTTTCCTCCAAGGTTCGGCCTAATGACCATTGCCCCCCTCGATTTTAGTAAAAATGACAACGCAAAGCATCATATTCTTAGCTTTTTCACAAATCATTAATTTATATGATGATTTTTCTAATGTACTAAAACCTCCATCCCCGAAAAAAATATCCCTGCTTCATATAAATTAATTAATGTCTTAAAATTGGAATCCTGGAATTAGTTTTTATATCATGTAAAATTTGTTATTGAATTGAATTGATGAGTTGACATGATATCTTATTCTAATAATTAGGACAACAAAACCAACGTAAAACTATATTTTTAAGATTTTATTTCCAACTAAAATGATATATTAGGTGAAAATCTAAAATAAGATTTTGTGTAATATTGAAATCTTAAAATCTCCAGGAAAAGAATTCATCATCACTGTTTTCACTGTGACTACTATGTTGGCATTTCCGCTTCTACTTCCACTACTTTCACAACTGCTGATGACACTATAAGTACTCTTTCACATAGGTATCTCTTGTGCATTTTTCTCATTGTCATGTCATCTTGTTAGGCAGTCACGGAACAAGAACTTTCAAATCGCAGAATAAACAATAGGATTATTCAACTGTTATCAGAAGGTCGAACTGAAAAAATTTCAATTAACGGATACTTTACTAAGGAAAAATTTTGCCAAATCCGGCCGGACGGGGGTCCATCGACCACCCTGACCCCTTAATCCGTCACTGTTGTTAGGCTTGATTATAATGTATAGAAATGATTTTCCAAAGAAGAAAGCGCATAAATTAATTTTTGGCTCGTTATTAATGTGGTAGAGTACTAACTTTGAGAAATATTATTTTTATATTAATTCTTATTATAACGCATTTTGATTTGCTGTAAGTTACATTTAGTATGTTTTTCTATTTAAAAATAAAACTTTAAACATATTTTATAATTGTGAATATACAATAAATACGAAAATTTATTTTTAAAATTTTATTTTTAATACAAATAATATACTAAACAAAATTTATGAAAATTAAAATATTTTATAATAAAGACCGGAAGGAGTAAAAGTGAAACAATCTCCATCTTCGTTTGATTCTGAGATGCCAGCATTCTCATTTATCATAGGTCTTGTCCCTTTTATACTCGGGTAACAAGCTACAAAGTTCGCCGTTTTAGGTAAGACAATTTTTGACATGCATAATCACATATCAGGGAAAATACCATATCTATCTTGGCAATTACGAACTCGGAATTAAAAGCGAAAGAACAAATTAAGATAATACTCACAGTGATACAGTCTAATTAGTTTGTTCTAATCTTTTTCTCTCCAAAATGTCTATCGACATCAAAATTTGGTGAATCTTGTTTAGTTTCCTACAAAGCGACCTCAGTACTTACAAAAATTCAAATCATTTTTTTTTTTTGTAGGAATGAAGAAACTAAGAAATTAATGGAAACATCAGCATAAACATACAGTTGTTTCCTTTATGACAAAAAAAAAAAAACACCATGTACATAACAACTCTAAGCTTGTATACATTGCAGTTCTTTTCACATAAGAAAACAACAATAGTGTTTAATGGGGGCGAGATTCTTATGGAGGTGAGTCTACGGATATCCTAGATCGAAGACCTGCAAGAAAAAAAATACTAGCACTCCAATGGATAAAATATATTAATGCAGTTAGAAGAAATTGAGCGATATGGTTTGATTGAATAAGATAGGTTGTTACGGCATAGGATCCTCTCTGACACTTTCTTGTGCCACTCACCGTGACACAATTTAATTAGTTCTTATAAATTATATAAATTTGTAATGACATATATACCATTGGAAATAAATTACTATTAATTTAGAAATAAATTAATAAATTATTAATTTATAGAGTTTTATCAACCTTATTAAGACACAAATTATCAATTTATTATTTTCACCAGAAACAAATCTCGGTTGCGACCTTATATATTATTGTAAATTTTCTACTTGAATTAAAAGATACCAAACGCAAATATAAAAAAATAATTAAGTTAATTTCAAATTTAGTTTTTTTATTTTAGATGTTTATTAATTATGAAAATTTTTTGAAAAAAATCTTATTAATTAATCGATTTTTTTTTTTACTGATCCCGAGTTGAGTCCGGAAAAAATCTGTATTATTTATAAAAGGTTGTAAATTTATAGATAATTCATTTATAGAGGTCCTACTGCATGTGTATTAAATTTTTGTTAATTGTCATTTGACGGGTTTCATATTTAGAATCCAATTATAAGAGAGTGTGCAACATCACATACCACATTGCTATCTGACAAATTAAATGTCCTGTATATAAGTTTCAACCTTATAAATTACTAACAACTTTGGTTAACCATTTTGGACTAGTGAGAACGAAAGCCTGAAAGTTGTTGGGCCAGTTTATGAGGTTAGGATGTTACAAATGGTATGAGAGCGGACCCTGGTCTAGGAGCCAAGTGCTACGTGCGGATACACCTCTGAGCCCTGAGCCCGCAGAGAGGACAAGTGCGAAGTACGGGAGCCACCTCTAGAGTCCTATTCCGGAGGAAGACTAGGCCACATTCTTGTTTGCTGGGTTTTGCGAGCACGCAAAGATCCAAAGGGGATGGGCTGTAACATCCTGTCCCACATTGTTACCTGACAAATTAAATGACCTGTATATAAGTTTCAACCTCATAAACTACTAACAACTTGGGTTAACCATTTTGGGCTAGCAAGGACGAAAACCTGAAAGTTATTGGACCAGTTTATGAAGCTAGGATGTTATGGAGTATATATTTGGATTTCGATTTTTCTAAAACTGTAACTTTAACTTCTTCAAAGAAGGATGAAGAAAAAAAAGTCACTTATGATTCTAATTCTAAATTCTTGACTCTATCAAGATTAACAACTGTGTATGCACCCAATGATACTCTTATATGTGGAAAGATCACTAGAATTCAAAGAGATCATTTTTGTGCATTAAATTATGCATACACTCAAATCTCATTTTAGTAACGCAATTTTTATTACATCTTTGTGTAGCTTACAAGCCATTCGGATTTTTATTACATCATGATAGAACTCATCGGAATTCTAAATTCCATGATAATTCTTTAAACTAATTCTCTTTCTATGACTAGAAATTTTCTCTCACAATAATGCACTAACCGTCAACTGCTTGTAGCTTTCCTCCCTCTCCGGTCCAAGATAGACGCAGAGATGGAAATTCAGTCCAATTGGACTTTGACAAAGACAATCCTAATAATATAGAACAAAAACACAACAACATCGCCACCGACTCTATTGGAGAAATCCCCTAGTACACCGCTCCAGCCAATCAGCCATCAAACACACATGGGTTGAGGGCACAACATCTTTCAGGGACCGCCTTCTCTAACGATAACCCAACCAGGTAACCAATATCACAGGACCACAATTACTGAGGCGAGGGAGACATAACTTATGGGGAGAAAGATGGGGTCCCCTCAAAGAAATTCTCAAAACCGGTCAGACACCAGATGGAGATAGCTATGACCTTCACTATTGCTGTAAAACCTTTGGGTAGAGAGTTTC